TGAATTACCCCTTCGCCTCCCATCATGTAATTCGTAGTTCCTAGCTGGGGAAGGACAGGGACGGCACCGAGTTCTTTGTTCATGAGAACATGGTTTCGCATTGAGACCTCCACACGAGGACTGTTTGGTTTCCATCCCAGCCCTGCCTCAAACTCTGGAACTTTGGGCAATGTTTCTACTCACTCTTCGTCTCAGCTTCCCCCTTAGAGACAGGAAATACACTGCGTTGTAGGGTTGTTTGAGGCCACCATGATGACCGAAAATGTTTAATGAACCAGATTAACAAGGATCTAATGTTGATTTGCATTATGTAAACGGAATTATTTAGAAGAGATTGTTCATTGTTGTAACTAAGAAACCAATTACCATTCTCCTCCACTGTTTCTTCTCAGAGCTTTGAAATGGGACAGAACGCAGATATGAGGAGAAAAAGTTATACGTGTTTTTGGTCACTTTGCAAAGTAATCCTCTTGAAAGCAATGGCCATATCAACAAGTATGTTCTGATGTGTAGAAACTTAATAAGTGTCGAAAAGTTATTTAATTACTTTCACTTCTGATGTGATGAAGTAGCTTGGAGCCGATCAGTGCTCCCACCAAGAACAACTGGAAATGTGGATAGAATATTAAAGTCATCTGTTTGAGGGTGTCTGATTGCTAATGAGACACCAGACTCGAGCGGTGAGAGCCCGGAGAGAAGGGAACCCCATTGGGTGAGCCCAGCTTTCCCACAGAGCGTCTGTCCTGTGGGCGTTGGTTGCCTCTTGCTGCAGGGCAGGCGGACGAGCCGGCTGAGGCTGGCCGCCGGGAGGGCGCAGCGGAGCTGTAGCCCCTCTCACGGGGCCGGGAACACAAATTAGAAATAGAGGCTGCCCAGACAGCCAGGGCTTGCGGCACTAAGATCCCCAAGAGAGGACCAGAAGAAGGAACAATTGTCTCCAGAAAAGGCGACAATTTTCCTTTTGAAGCATTTGTTGAGGAGGCTGCATGGGTTAGAGGTTGAGAAGCAGGGCAGCGTTTTGGGCAGTCGGTGGTGAGGTTTGGGACCCACCGAGGAGGAGGACCTTAGGAAATAACCCAGGTTCTTAGTTAAGACTCCAGGAGGCCTATACCCAGAGAGGGGATCAAGCAGAGGTAGTGTGAGCCTTACAAGGCATGCTAAGCAGCCCTGACTAGTTCAGCCCCGACGGGATTGAGGTCACTGGGTTGAGATCAGTTAGAGAAGCCAATGAATCCTCTCCGGAAGGACAGAGCAACCCAGCTCTGCAAGTTTTCATTCGTGATGTATAGAATTCAATTTGAAAATTACTAGGCAGTGAAGAAACAGACTCTGGCCCTGACCGGTTTGACTCAGCGGTTAGAGCATTGGCCCACGGACCAGAGAGTCCCAGGTTCGGTTCCCGCTAAGGGCACGTACCTCAGTTGCGGTTTGTTCCCGGCCCTGGTTGGGGTCGTGTGGGTGGCAACCAGTCAATGTGTCTCTCTCATCGATGTTTCTCTCTCTCTCTTCCTCCCTCTCTCCCTCTCGCTCTATCTGAAGATAAATGCAAAAAAAAAAAAAAGAAAGAAACAGACTCAGAGGAAAACAGGATAATACAAATAGACCCATAGGGGACTAAGATACTGCAGTTTCAGAGAGACTTTTAAATAATGTGACTAATATAGTCAACAAAAGATTGGCAAGACAGAGATTTTCACCAGAGGATTGGAATCTATTAAAAAGAATCCAGTGGAAAGTCTGTATCTGAACAACACCACTGAAATTAAGAACTCAGCTGGCAGTTTTAACAGCAGATTGGACACAGTAAAGAGAATCAATGAGCTGCAGGCTAAGTTGGTGGGAAAATCCAGACTGAATCATAGTAAGTGAAAAGAATGACAGACAGAAAACAGTGTGAGGACGTATGGCTCGTGGTGACAGGTTCTAATAGGGAAGACTCGGAATGGTGGGAAAGGAGCAGAAGCAATATCCAAAGAGGTGACGGCTGAGAATTTTCCAAAACCAATGAAAGACACCAAGCCACAGGTCTAAGAAGTATTTCCTACCCCCACCTGAGTAAAGTCGAAGAAATACACACCAAGCCAAAACTATGAAAACCAAAGACAGAAAAAAAGCTTAAAATCAACTATAAATAAAAGCCTGTCTTTTCAAAGAAGCAGTAATATGATCTACAAAAGTTGTACAGGTAACATCGTAATGTCACGGTAAAGCATTGCTCCTTGCTCAGTGTGGGGACATGACAAGGGCCGCCACCCCCACTCCCGTTCAGCTTTGTATGACGATCCTAGCTAACGCAGGGTGCCCAAAACGGTGAGATGAAACATTGAGTGAAACTCTCTTTTGTTACAGACAACATGATGGTAGAAATACTGAGAGATGAGTATAGCCATCTTGAAAAAAATAAAAATCAAGACTGGAGAACTTAAACTATTGGATGCCAAGACTCATTAGAACGCTGTGGTTTAACCTGCGGAGCTGACCTAGCAATGGTGGTCACCAGAATAATGGTCGAGGATTTTTTTCTCTAGAAAACAGCACTGTGAAACCTCCAGGGTGAAGCAAATGGCTATATTTTTATCTTTGTGGGGGTTACACAGTTGCATACATGTGTAAAAATGTATTAAGTTTATGCTTGATGATTTTAGCACTTTATATGAGTAATAGCTCAAGAAATAGAAAAAGCAAGAATAAAGAGCATTCTATACTAAAAAAGAAAAAGCTATAGTAATTAAGACAGTATAGGATAATTGCTTAAAAAGAAAGAAGCTAAAAAAATACAGATAAAAACACAAGCAGAGGCCAGAGACAGATTCACACATACTTACTGTCACTTAATGTATGGCAAGTCACACACTATCTTTACGCCTTAGTTTCCTCATCTAATAAAATAGACTTAACAATAGTGCCTACCACATAAGGTTTAGGTATTATATCAAAATGATTTAGATATTACATTAGAGAGGTTAACACATGTAAGGTACATAGTAAATGCTCCATAAAATTTAGCCAGAAGTAATATTATCCCTGTGATGAGCACTATGACTATAATTATTACTTCCCTATTAGTAGTAGTAGTTGTGCTGTTCATCTTCTCTATTTTTCAATGTGATCATCTGAAATGGGTGGACATTGAATCCTGGTTGGCAACCAGGAGCATTTGGGGAAGAGCAGGAGAGTGTCAGTTCTTAGCCTATTTGGAAAAAAACGTGGGAGCGGGGAGATAAACCCCATGATTCAGTCACAGCCCTGCTGTGTTGTGGACACAACTGTGAGACATTATTAGACATGTATTAAGCATCTGAAATGGACTCGTGCATAGATGTGTCTGTAGGGACATCTGAGAGCCTGTGTGTGTACGTGAGCCATTTGTGAAAACACTGTGTGGAAAGGAAGCCAGTTACCTCCTCTCTCGCCTGAATCGTACCAGAAATCCGAGAGAGACATTGACGTGGGAGAATATGAAAAGGTTGGATTCCGTAACTTTGAAAAGTATATCACATGGCATCGTTAGCTGCACCTGGAAGTTCATCTTGTAGCTACGGTCACAAAGTCTCTGAGGAAGGGGATCGTGCTCTGTTTCCCTTCCCTCGGCGTTCACAGTCCAATCCCGAAACAACGCCTCACCGCACCGAGGGGCTTCCTGCTCCGGGGCATCTCGGGGTAGCCAGCTGCGGGCTTACCCATTATTCTAGCTACGCAGTATCTTCAGCCCTCCCACATCCCCGCCGCGTGGCATTTCCATGCTGTCCTCCTCTCCTCCTGACCCTCCCACACCCCTCACTCCCGGGAGGGGCTGCCCCAGGACCTCCCACCGCTGTAAGACACCAGCTCGCTAACACGGGATTGTCTTCACCAGATCCGAAGTCAGTCTCTCACTCTTCTGCTTGCATTTGGATGACTTTAGAGTTTCCTCTGCCACAAGGTGTTGGTGATGAGGTGATGGAAGTAAAACTCAGCACAGTGCTTTCATCCAAGTAAGGGATAGTTGTTGTTGCTGCCGTTGTCATTGCCTAAGATCACACACCCAGGAGGCTCACATCCCAGCATTACCGTGCTGCCTGTAGTTTAGCAAATTAGATTTGGTACCCAGCCTGCCCAACTAGGTCTACACTTGGTTGGGACCCTGCCCACTGCATTTGGCACTCGGTCACTGATAAAACCTCCAGGGGCGCCCCTTTCTGTCACCGAGGGAGTGCTGTGTGCCTGGCATCGTGGGAGGGCGCCTGCCTCACGGAGGGGGTGCGATTCTGCCCGCCCTGTGGAAGCCTGGGTGTGTACTCCTGCCCAGAAATAGGTTGTTTCCGAGATCCAGGAAGAACAGTCAGCTTCTGCTCTTCCTCTTCCTGCACTTCACCCTGCCTGTACCCCATCAGGTAGCGTCCAGGCTTCTTGAAGTCCACGCCTTCACCTGACGTGTTTCCTGCGGGCTCCCTACCACCCGTGAGCTGACCAGTGTGCCAGGAGCCCGTCAGAATCGCCCTAGCCACGCGTCTCTCCCCTTTCTCTGGATGCCCGGGCAGTCTGGAGAGAGATTCTGCATTCCTGCCATCCCTACCAGCCATTCTAGTCCTCGTTTTAGATGTGCAGAGCTTCCTTCCAAGTTGACTGTACTCTGAAAGGGACATGCTCTTGCCCCTTCTGCTTCTGAATGAAATGGTGCTGGTTGACAAGACCGACGGGGGTAGACTGGTAGTGAGAGCTCATTCGGGGAGAGGCCCCCCAGTTAAGACTGGTTTCTGCAGAGCCTTCTGTCCGGGCCTACAAGCAAAGAAGGCCTGGGTTCCTCGAGCCTGGGAGCCGCTGTGTTGGAGCATGCTCCCTTATCCCTGTGGGGCCCGTCCATCTGCCCAGCTCCTTGGCTGACCCATCACAGAAAAGGACACAGTGCTGGGCGAGACAGGGAATGTGGGTGGAGTCCCCAAATCAGGAGGAACAGGAAACTAATTGCCAAAAGAAATTTTATCATCCTAATAAAATGAAGCACATGGTTTGCATTCCAGGTCCTTCAACTGTTCTATGGGAACCCGGGCGTTTTCCCATGACAGTATTTTTATCCCTGATGGGGGAGCAGAAAGTGAGCAGACAGTTCAAGCAATGTCACAGGACAACATCCTGGGCAAAGTCAAAACTCTTCAGGTAAGACAGATTGAGCCTGGAAGGTTAGAGCCGTAGCAGGGGCCTGGCTGTGGAGGGAAGTGGGGAAATGCCCAGCTTAGCCGAGTGATGGCTTGGGAGGTCCAGGGGCTCCTGGTGAGACTGCACTTTTTTGAACCTGAGTCTGTTCTTTAAGCCTTCTGTCCCCCTGTGAGAGGTACACTGTCACTGTGGTACCTGCCTTCACAACTCCCCTTCTCCTGGTCTCTCAAATTGTTCCCCCTTTTATGTGGACATTATGAGGACAAGTGCCCAAAAGAAGCTGCATGACTCGGATGGGAGGAAAGAGTCCTGAACCGTTCAGGTTTGGCCTAGTCCCCAAGCTCAGGGTTGGCTGTCAGCTGAGGGTTGCACAGTCTCCCCACTGGACCGTGAACGGTGAGACTCACTGTGTTGTGTTGATCAGCCTGGCTCCCCCTGAGCCACTTGACTCAGAGGAACACCCCGAAGCTCTTGAACCTCCCCCCACTCTGGCTGCAGGACTGGGCGGTTTTCCTCATAAATCTGACTCAGGTGGTAACTCCTTGATAATGAAAGTACAGCTGACCCTTGAGCAGTAGGGTGTGAATTGCGCGGGTCCACTTACATGCAGGTTTTTTTCAATAAATATTGTAAATGTACCTTCCTTATGATTTTCTTTTCTCTAGCTTACTTTATTTGTAAGAATACAGTGTGTAATACATATAACATACAAAATGCATGTTAGTAAACAGTTTGTATTATTGCTAAGGTTTCTGTCCACAGTCGGCTGTCAGTAGTTAAGTTTTGGGAAAGTCCAGAGTTATATGTGGATGTTCAGTTGCCATGGGGGTGAGCGCCCCTAACCCCTGCGCTGTTCAAGGGTCAGCTGTATAGTAAAATAATTCTTCACTAAATGTGACTCAGATAATGGGGATTCCAGGAAGGGTGAGGGAGTGAAGACACCTGGGATCTGACTGTCGGTTTGCGCAGTTGCTTGGAAGAATCCACTCACCCGACAGAAGTGCTCAGCAGGCACTTCTCTGAGACAGGAGTGCCTGGGTGATGCCCGTTATGAACAGGGGGATCTGGCTGGCTGGTTTCCATCTGTCTGTAAGTCTGCAACAGTGAGTGAGTGAGTGAGTGAGTGAGTGAGTGAGTGAGTGAGCAAGAAAAGAAACAGCTGGCTTGAGTAGCTACTGACATGATGAAGCACTGTTTTCTGTTTTCTTGAAATGTTCTTGTTTCTTCTGAACGTTAGCTAAGTATTTCCTGACCAGAGTTTGGTCACGTATCCCCCCACACACACTCAGCTGAGTGTAGCATATGGCAGGCAGGGAACCAACCAACACCCTGGCACCACACCCAAGCTTGCCTGGGTCTTTACACCTGCTGCCGCCACTGCCCAAGGACATGGTCCTGCCCTCAGAGCCGACCTAGGCACTTCCTTCCCGTTCCACCAGGTCCCAAGCAGGCTCCACTCTTGGTTCCGGCCGGCCGTGCTGTTACACATTTTATACTTAGGAGAAGTAAGCTGTCACTTCTCTTAGGTTGAAGAAGAGGGTAGGAAGGTGATGGCCAAAGAAAACCTTGACCCCACCCCCACCCCTCCTCTTTACCCTTCCTTCTTGAAGTCTTTCGATTTCTGGAATATTATTCCTTAGCAGTTCGGAACCCCTGGCTTATAATATCTGCTTCATAAGAGGAGTGACTTACAGAGTTCAGTCCACGAAACAGCTGTTTTATGAAGGCTTTCCAGGAGCTCTTTAAAAATTAGGTAACAGTTCATTTGTCGTCTTAACTGATACCTGCTCTGTGACATCACAGCACATGCCACTGCCACGCCAAGACGTGGACTTGGAGTTGTAAATGATATATAATTCTACAGTATTGAAAATACAGAAACCCAATAAAATATGCAACTGCCTGTTATTCCTATTCAGTAGTAAGGCACAGTGTTAAAGAATCTGATCCCATAATTAATAAACTGTGAAACAACCAACTTCCCTGAAACTACAATTCTACTAACACAGGAAGAGAAATGTGAGAAAAGCAGAATGACTATCTAATTGGATGCTCTCTTTAGACAATATCTACTCATACAAGGGTTTGCTAAGTTTGCTTCTGCTGTGTGGATTCATGAGCTTCCTTATAGCTCTATAGTCACACTTTTTGAAACTATAAAAGAAAAGGCTTTGCTCTTTGAGGAGGGAAATGGGACCCTTATCATAGAAAATGTAATTTTTGGAGCGACATAAGATATAACTGTATTACCCCCAAAAGACTGTGCTTTATTTTTCAGTCGACTAAGCAGCATGTTCCTGGTAAGTTGTAGAAGTAGTAGTAAACTGTATTAAATTGCATGCATGCTTTGCATTTTTTTCATGACACCGTTGTGCTGGTATTGATGCTTAGTAAGCAGCACAAAAGACCACCCCTCATAGACTCCAGCATGGAATGAGAGTGTTTAGTTATGTCAGAGGCATGTATTTTTTTTTTTAATGTCTGAAATTGTCTTTGTGTATCTGTGTATATTTATTTTAAAAAGAGAGAGAGAAGTAATGGATAAAACCTATTTGACAGCAAATGACCTGGCAAGCTAATTAGCCTCCATTATTAATATATTCTTTTGAAATGAGATTTTTACTGGAATGCCATTTAAGACAAAACAAAACAAACAAACAAATAAACAAACAAACAACCATTTTTCCCTGGCTTAAGAAACTTCCCAGCCCCTTGGAAACCCACAGAACTGTGCCTGTAATGACTGCTTTAGGGAAGGCTGCCCTCTAGTGGCCACATATAGTCATCTCCGCTAACACTCGTAAGTTGCCTTTAGTATCTCTCTACTGAGCACGGAATGACTGAATACAGCATAAATAAGCCTACACTTTTCTGAATAAAGTAAATCCACCACCTGCAAAAATTTCTGTGGCAGATGATTGAATCAGTGTTCATCTGGTGTAGCACGGAGTGGCTTTGTAAGTTTTGCACTTCCTTGCATTTGGACAACAGTGACCTTGACGTTCCCGGCAGCTGCCCATAGCACAGATCCGGGAGGTACCTGTTTAGTTTAGATCAGACCAGGCTGCGAAGTATCTACCAACAAATGGTAGAACTCAGGAACGCTGCGGTCTACGCCTGCAGGTAGTTTGTAGAATTAACTGCACCTTTGACAGAAAATGCCTAGTCCATTAGTCTACAGTCTGTTAGCTCAGGAGGAAAAACCTCCACCCTCAGTAGCAACTATCTCCTGCTGAGCTGGATTTTACTTAAAAATGCCAACGTGTCGTACACTTGAGAATCTTGACACCTCGTGCAGCTGTCGAGGACACAAAGAATAAATAAATACCTGCTCTTAGCCACTTCTTCAGGGAGCAGATGTCTTTAAATTCGAGTTCTTTTTCTAAAAAAAAACGAACAAAAACTTGTTTTAATGTGGGAGTATCTGTAGTTCACTCAAAAAGACAGCAACTTTCTTTTCCCTCCGCTTTTTTCTTACAGACATGATCTGAAGAAGGAAAAACCTGGGCCGGGGGAGGGGGCCCTAAACACTGGCAGTGTGCGAGCTGCAGAGTAGGATGAGCTTGGAATTCCCAGCCGTAAGAAAGGCCTCCCGATGTAGTGCAGTCCTGTAACGCCATTCTCCAGCATTCCATATTACAACAGAATGGCCCCGTTTGAGTGAATTAGATACAGTCCCTTTCAGCTCACATTCCAGTCTCAACAGTAACCCTGTTCATAGACACAAGCTATGCGGACTCACAGTATGGGCACACTTCACACTCTCCTCTGGTTGTAATCCCAGTGTGTATAAGGAACCATAGGTATGTTGTTTTGAAAGGCGGAGGAAGTGGTTGTAGTTTCTTTCTCTGAAAACTTAGAGGCCAGCTCACCTTAGCCGTTTGCTCTCAGTGATTGCTTTTATCGGAGTTTCTCTATAACAGTGCCCAAACAGTGTGCAGAAAGTCACCAAAGAGCCACATTCATCCCTCTGTTCAAGTCACACGACACCTGAGATTGCCAAACAGGTTTTAGCAATAGATTTTAATCTTCCTAAATTGCAGAGTGTGGTGACAGCCCGGTCTTCCAGTCAGGACCCACAGTGGAGGGAAGACGGGCAGGTGCGAGAGCTTGACCGCCTGCGCCTGAGGGGGGGTCATCCCCATGGCCTTGGACCCTATGTCCTGCCTGGCCTTGGGGTTCTCATTTCTGACAGCTGCAGGATGTTTCTGTGAAGACAGTCCGTTGTCTGGACAGAGGGGTGTGCAGCCATAGCTATCCCTACACGGTGGCCATCATGTCTTAATGACTGGAGCCCTCCCCTCCTCCAACCCCACTTCCTCCTCCTAGGCCCCCTAGCCACCAGCCTGAACTTACCTCCTCTGGAGGGAATTTACGGAGATGCACACCATCATTCACAAAGGCAGCAGCATGTGTTTCTTCTGGCAGGATGGACATATCTGTGACAGATGAGCCCCGTGATGTCCACACACATCCCTCGCCCCCGCCTATGGCTGTCCTCCCTCCAGTCGGTCTGCAGCTCCTCCTGGGCCCTCATCACTCTCTCTCCATGCGTCTCCGTGGGCCCTGCACCTTCCTCTGTTGGTCTTTCCTCCTTACCTTCTACTTCATTTCTTAACACTGCTCTGTCCATGTCCCAGCTGTGTCCCATGGTCCTTGCTGCTCCTGTTCTTACCCAGTTGTTTTTGTTTTGTTTTCCATTTTCTCCTTCCTTTTCCATTGGTAGCCAATGTAGCCATCCCATCTTTGGGAGACTATGATAACATTTTTAAAACATATGTTTCTATTGATTTGAGAGAGAGAGAGGAAGGGAGAGGGAGAAAGAGATAGGAACATCAATGAGAGAAGCATCATCGATCGGCTGCCTCCTGCATGCCCCTTCCCAGGGACTGAGCCTGCAACCCTGGGCATGTGCCTGACCAGGAACCAGACCGGCCACCTCTTGGTGCACGGGATGATGCTCAACCAACTGAACCACACTGGCTGGGCCTGTGATTACACTTTGCCTTATTATTTTTTGTCCCCTAAGTATCAGGGTGGACCAATAGCGGTATTCTAAAAAGGGCCCTAATGAAGTAAAATATCAGCACATTCCTTCTTTTTTGTGATGGTGGCAAAAATCCTAACTAAATGACACTGTCGCGTCAGGCCAGGTTCTCCTCAGAATCTCCCGACAGCATTATCCTTTCCATTGGAAGTAGAAGAAACCCCTCCATGGCGTCACACAGGAGCATCAGTAGGTAACAGAGCCGCACAGCTGCAAGTCTCTTGTCTTGGGACTTAGACCAGTTTTCAGCTCTTGGCCAACACTCCTAGAGAAGGGATAATAGGTCAGCCAAAGGCTGGGCAGGGAGTCGACACAGGAGCCATTCCCACCTTCCTGCCCGGGGGTTCCCACCCGTTTCCCACAGGGCAGCAGAGGGAGCCAGGCCTGTGACCTCGCTACACCGCGTCCTCTTGTCTAACTGCATCGGCTGTTCTAACTGTGCCTGCTTATGGATCTGCTTAGAGTAGATACTAACTGCCGCTTCCTGCTGAACTTGTTTCTAGAAGACACCCCTTTCGCCTTCTCCTTCCCGAAACCCTTTAAGGCTGCTCAAGCTGTACTTCACTGGCTGGCCTCGGCTTTGATGTGTGCGCCTTCCCTGGGGAGTGGGGGGAGCCGTGCTCAGGCTGAAATGCCAGCAGATCAAAGTCCTTGTCTTGCTGTGCTCCTGACTTGGCATGCTGGGGTCTCAGACTCATCTCTGCCACGCCTCCGTGCAAGGCTGAGGGGGAGCTGGGCGTGGGTGGGTGGATTTGGTACGCTGAGTTCGGAGGGACAGGGCAAGTCCTGTAGGGGTTCTCAGCCAGGAAACTTCAGGAAGGCATAAAAGGGCTGCACTGTGTTTTTATTCCTGCCCCTGTAAGAAGGAAGTGCGATGCCAAATGTATGCGAACCAGGGGCGTGCAATGAAAATGGCACTGAAAATGGCAGTGAACCTAGTCTCGGGTCCCTTCGGGGCCACACATTCTTTCCATAAGTTTGGGCCAGTCACCTCTCCCTACGGGACCTCTGAATTTTTTGCGAAGTGAGGGGTTGGACTATATGATTGCTAAGGTTCTTTGCAGCTCTGTGGGATTACCCGTTAATCGGATTAAAGCTAAATATCAGATAATGTCCTCTTTCTCTTTTTGAGACATAGAAGGACTATGAAGCCCGAATGCCTAGATCTAGAGCAGCAGTGCTCAGCTGGAGGTGACTTTACCCCCAAGGGACATTGGGCAACATCTGGAGACAATTTTGGTTGTCTCGCCTGGGGTAGAAGGATTGCTACTATCCTCTAATGTCCAGGAGCCATGGTGCTGCCAAACATCCTGTCACAACAGGACAGCTCCCCACAGCAAAGATTTATCTGGCCCAGAAGGTTGTTAGTGCCCTAGATCAAGGTGGTAAGCGGCTGGTACAGTGCCCTCGGCTCCATGGCCTCCCGGTGGCCGTGGCGTACCTCGCTTTCCTCCTGAATGTCATTCATTTTCTCTGCCGCAGCCCTTTCAATATTTTGCCCCTTCTTTAGCTATTGTGTTCCTATATTTTTATTCAGGGAGTATATTTCCTTTTTAATCGGCTTTTCTCTAATTCCAAATACGATTTTTCTTCCAAATTTGAACCCCGTGTTTTTATCCCTTCTCCCTATCCTGTCCACCACCGCCCTCTGGTAAGCAGCTCCCCCTGGTGCTCCTCTCCTGCCTACTTCTCTGTCCCTGTCCGGCGCCCGCGCCCTGGTTCACAGTGGACGGCTGCAGCCAGGCAGAGGGAGGCCCTGCTGGCGGACCGGATTCTGTCCCTTCCACGGGTTCAGCATTGCTCATGGGGAGACGTGCTGGCCCCGGGGCCTCCCTCACCTTGGCGGTGGTGCCCACTGTCACCCTACATGATGTCCAAGCTGGTGAGGACGGCAGCCGAAGTGGAACGATTCGAGAGGAATGTGTCCAAAGGGCTGGCGGCAATCACGAGGGTCTGCATTTCCCCCAGGGGTTCCTGCACCTCCTGGGAGCATTTCCTACGCCAGTTTGATACTTTCATGAGGCTTTTTATATACAGTAATTTAGAGGTCCTTCAAAATTACGTTGTCATAACATGCATCCCAACTTTTGGTTCCGAAGTTGGGCTCTCCACCCCCCGGAAAACTGGCATCCTGAAGGAGGTGGCTGGAAGGTGGGGGGGGGGGGGAGCGGAGGCTGGAGACGCCCCGTGTCACAGGCCGTCCGGCCGGCGTGGGGCTGGGAGAGCGCGGCCGGCAGGGGGCGCCCGGGGGCCCACGGGCCGCGCTGCGGCCCAGCTTCCGAATGGCGTTGTCTTCTCTCCCCAGCGACAGTTGGGCAAGAACATCAAGTTCGGGCAGCCGCCAGCCAGTGCCACTCCCGTGAAGAAGGCGGACAGTGGGGAGGCCGGCCTGGAAGAGCATCAGCCCCCGACCCGTCCCATGGACCCCGTGGCTCAGCAGGACGTCGTCCTCTCGGACGTCGAGAACAAAGTGAGGCCGCCCAGAGCCGGGAGGACGGGGGCAGCGGGCGGGCCGTGGGGTCTGCAGCGCAGGGGGGATGGGAGGCGTTTCTGAGGCGTGGCCGGGGCTGGGGAGCACTTCGTGGGCAGGTGCCCTGATCTGCACTGGGACCACCTGGCCGAGGGGGAGGAAGGGGAGACACGTCCGTTGTGCGGCCCTTCCCGGGGTCTTCCACGTGCTCCTTGAGACTCAGGCTGACCCTTGTCTGGCCTCACCCCCAACTGAACTCTCCGCCCGGTGCCTTTCCTATGCATCCTCTGCACTTCTTTTTTTTCTTTATTGATTTTAGAGAGAGAGGAAAGGAGAGGGACAGATAGAAACATCGAAAACATCGATGAGAGAGAGCATCGATCGTCTGCCTTCTTAATGCCCCCCCCACCCCCGGGGTCAGACCCACAACCTGGGCATGTGCCCTGACTGGGAACGGAACCGGCAGCCTCTTGGTGCAGGGGTGGACGCTCAACCACTGAGCCACACCGCATCCGGAGCCCATCTGTGTCTGTGTCCACCTGTTTTCCTTCCATCCCTAAACGTTGAGTTCCTTAAGGACAAAACTGCATCTTACACACCTCCATCCCCCCCCCCCCCGACTTTGCTAATAAGACAGAACAAGTCAAACAGACCAGTGTGAAGTCTACTGAACGGGGAAAGAAAGTCACACTGGTTTAGCACTGTCCTCTCTAAGTTTGGTCTTTGACACTGAAAAAAACACTGTGAGCGTATCCTGAAGTAAGAGTCCTTCTAGCAGCAGGACACCTTCAGGCCTCCTGTGGAAAAGGGAGCGAGAGTGAGGGTTCCCGAGACACAGCACCAGGTCTGCCAGCCTTGTAGCATCTCCATGCTCTGCCCGCCGGGTGCGGAAATTACACTGATGCTCTGGAAATGGGCATGCCCGCCCCCGCACCCATGCTGGTCATCAGCAGATAAGTCCTAAGGGCCGGAAGAAGGATGAGCAATTTGCAGAGCAAAGTGTGGAAGGAAAGAAAAGGACTGTCCCCGCCTGTTGCCCATCTCTGCCTGGGCCTGCCCTGATGGTTCCTGGCACGCACACGTGCAGGTGGTGGGTGACGCAGGGATGGCCCGTTCCTCCCTCTGTGGTCAGAAATGCCACCATCCTCGAGGCAGGGATTTCCCAAAGACAAGCAAGTGTCTTCACTGTTACTGACAACCTGATACATGCAAGGTGCTGGGGCCTGGGGGAGAGGGAGGGTTGTTTGTTCAGCCAGCCGCTACCCCAGCTGTGGGTATCACAGAGATGAACAAGATTAGACAAGGGGCTGCCCCAGGTCGTTTATATTGTAATGAGAGTCAGACAACACACACAAAACAGACTAATATAGTCATTTCAGATCAAGAGAAGTAGAAATAAAGCCAGGTGATGGAAGAGTGAGGGACTGGTTGGGAGGTGGGAAGATGAGGAGCTCAGAGCTGCCCTGAGCAGACCTGGGCGTGGGGCGTGTTCCCGGGGGAGGGAGGAGCAAGGCCCAGGCCCAGGGAAGGGCCTGCGCTTGTCTTGAAGGAGGAGCAGTCCCGGGAGGCCCTCTGCACCCTGGTGGAGGGGCAGCGGGAGGGTAGATGTGGCTGGGGGCGGGATCTTGCAGACCATGGGAAGCAGGTGAATGCCTCTGAAACAGGAAGCCTCTAAGTAATTTGAAGCAGGGTGGAGACATAATCTGATTTATGTTTTCTAAAGATGCTTCTAAGTGTGCAGAAAACAGCTAAGGTAGAGCAGGCCGACATGACCACTCTGGAAGGGACAGTAAGACCCTTCTGTAAATATTGGTGACGCAAGAGAGAAGGTGTAGGGGCCATCAGAAAGGTGCAGGTGACGGACCTGGTGCCGGTGTTCCCGGGGCAGGCCGATGGACCGGGGTGGGAATCTTCAGCTGTTTTCTGTTCCTTCCTTCTTTCCTGAGTCGTGTCCCCTCCTCTGGTCCTCCTCCTCGGCTCAGCACTTTGCGTGTGGCCTTGGAAGGGCCTTCTTCCCTTCCCACGGAGAAGAGGTCTGGCTCAGAGGTGAGAGGTTCGCAGGCGCAGGGGTGGAAGGCAGCCAGCGACGCACAAGCTCTGAGGCTGGAGCCCTGCCTCCCAGGTTCTCTCGGCACCAGGGCCTGAGCTGGGAGGCCGCCTGCTGGGAAATGTGCTGGACTCAGGGCGGGGGACCCGGGGTGCACACACTGTGCCTGAGGAGTCCTTGTGGGGCCTGGACGGTAGCCAGTTCCTCAGTGTGACTCCTGCCGGCTCTCCGAAGCCAGCGGCGCCCCCGCGTGAAGGAGGGGGCGACTCTTTCCAGGCACAGATGGTGTCTGGTCAGCCTCCCCAAACGTCCAGTTCTGGCGTGTGACTTGAGTGCTCTCTTTGCCGTTCCAGTCCAGTGACACACCAGGTTCTCCGAGTCCTCCGACTCTGCCTGGAGCCAGCAGTGACATGGAAGAGAAGGTAATGTGGTTTGAACTTACATACTTAGCTTCCTTATTGTCCTCCTGCCTTTTTTTTTTTTTTTTACAATCTTCTGCCTCATTTTCCCATTCATCATTGCTGCCTTCATCTACTGCTTTACATTTTTTCAAAATGCAACCAGGGGCAGACATTGGAGCATCTGTTTCCATGACGATGCAATTGCTGGAATTGAATCCTGCCCTGAAAAATAGCCACCTGCCCAGCTTGCCAGCATTGGGAGTCCTAGGTGTTGGTAGTTTTCCTAAATGTATCATGTACTTCAAGACCCTGTAAAGTGGTTGAAAAGACATCCTTGAAGGTACCCAAATCTATAAGGAAAAAAGTCTCCTATTTAGAGATGCCCCCAAAAGGACCCTGTCATTTCTCTACTTGTATGTCATTTTGTTGTTTTAACTTTTCTGGGCGCCCTTGAAACCTGGGCCTTCACCTGCAGGAGCCTAGGGAGCCCTGTGGGGCCCCGTGGGAACCTCTTCTGCAGAGGTCAGTCCGCTCCCAAGAGGACTGTTCACCTACACAGGGGTCCGGGTGCCCTCCCGGGGTCTGGCAGACGGCATAGTGAGTAGAGTATGTCCTGGGTCTTCTGACGGGTGGCCCAGGACAGTGCCACCACCCCGATGATGAAGAGGCCCTGCTTAAATAACTAGACACAAAACTTAAATCTCAGCTTCTGGTGCTAACGGATGTCTTCAGTTGCCACACTTGGTTCGAGCTCCTTCTGCTCATGCATTTGTTAGGTGATGCAAATAAATGTTTAATTTGTCTCTTCATCAACAGTTCAGAGTTTGAAACATATTGCAAAGATAACCATAGCCCTGGCCGGTTTGCTCAGCGGTTAGAGAGTCGGCCTGTGGTCCAGAGAGACCCAGGTTCGGTTCCCGCTTAGGGCGTGTACCCCGGTTGCAGTTTGTCCCCGGCCCTGGTTGGGTCGTGCGGGAGGCAGCCACTCAATGTGTCCCTTTCACGTCGGTGTTTCTCTCTCTCTTCCTCTCTCTCCCTCCCACTCTATCTGAACAAAAAATGGAAAAATGTCCTCAGAAGAGGATAAAAAAAAAGATAACCGTAAATAAATAAAAGCTAGGGGACCGAAGGCTGGAATTCATTTTCCTTACTTCTTGTGCTTCTTGTCGTGAATTATTGTTTACTGAGCGCCCCTTTGCTCTTGGTGCTTCAGCTTTTGTGTGTAAATACGGAAGGCAGTGCGGAAAGCAAGGCCCTCGGTGAAACCCCACCGAGGCTGCACAGACAGGTGACCGGGCCTCCTCTGGGCCCCTGAGCCTGAGAGCGTGAGCCGGGAGCGCCCTCTGCTGCACGCTGATGTGGCATGAGGTGTGGCCAGGAGCCCTGACTTTGCTGCTTTCCATAAATGCTCTGTAGTTACAGGTGTGGCCTCTGGGATCGAGCTGAGCCACCACCTCCGACCTATCTAAATCTGTGCGGTTCACCTGGGGTTGTGGTGCGTAAGTGATGGCGTCTGTATTACAGACTAGGCAGGCGGTGCCACAGTTCACCCTTTGAAGAGTTGCCCTCTCCTGGCGTGGACCAGGTGTCTGCTCCTGCCTTGAGCTTCCCTGGGCCCTAGTGCTCTGTGACTTTGGAGTGATGAGCGAGAACACTTTTGCGGGTTAGCAGTGTTATGCCCTAGTCAGAGATATGATGTTATTGTTCCTTTAGTCCTTCACCAAATACTTACTGAGCACTTGCCAGAGGAGATTTGCTCCTTGGACATAAAGGGGACTGATCCGAGGATGAAAAAGACACCTTCCCTGTCAGGTAGGAGAGGAGGTGTGTTCACACCGTATTGGCGGTAGTGGGGACGCTCTCAGAGTTCCAGTTCTTCGCACGGATGAGCCTGTCCAGGGCTCAGCAAATGAGGACTTATTTCAGGCTTTGTGGCCAGAAGGTCCAACGATGAGACTCTCGGTTCCGCTCTTCCTTTGTAGCGAGAGAGCAGCCTGGACACGAGGGTGGGCGTGGCTGTGCCAGCAGAGCTCCGCCTCCACCTCAGGCTGCAGGCAGGGTTCAGGCTCTGTCAGCCCCCACCTACCCTCCATGGGATTCAGGGGAGCTCGGTCCCTGAGAGGAGAAAGGACAGTTAATGCAGACAGCCCTGGCAGAGCCAGGAGTCCCTGCCCTGCCTTTTGATTCCAGAAGCAGAGCTCACCTCATGGTCCGATGAGCCCCCTGCGTGCCAGCATCCCGGGGCCAGGCCGGGCCAGGCACAGGCACCAAGAGGTGCTCCCCTTCCCGACTCCCGCGGCTGCTCTCTGACCCAGACTGATCACATGTTCTGATCCCCACCACAGGTGGCTCCAGCTAAACCGTCTCGGCCAAAGAGACATTTCTCTTCTGGGGGCACCATCGAGAGTGTCAACCTGGATGCCATCCCCCTGGCCATCGCTCGCCTGGACAACAGTGCCGCCAAGCACAAACTGTCCGTTAAGCCAAAAAACCAGAGGGTGTCGAAGAAGCACAGGCGACTTGGACTTGCTGGGGTACGTAGAGCCTGCCCTGGCAGGCGAGGCAACCGCCCTTGCTGGGGCGCACTCGTTCTCCCCAACGGGGGGTGTGCTGGCCTGTTGAAGGAAGGGGTGGGCTGCAGTGTTGGATGGCGAGCAGGCCCATGCGTGGTCCATCGCCCTGTCGCCTCCAGAGGGGCTGAGGGACCTCAGACAGAGAGGCTGCCTTTGAGGGGCTCCAGACACTGCATTTGCTCTGCAGCAGGGAGGGACCCAGCCGTCTCGGCCCAGGCATAGCCAGAGGCTCTTCAGTGTGAGGAGGGTGGTCTTCTGAGGCACACATTTCAGTGGACATAGACGAAGTGTAAATCTAATTTTGTCCTCCCCTTTCTAATCCTGAACTATGGGTTCTCCTAAGATTATTCATAGAAAAAGGGGTTTGAGAAGGACACCTAAAGGGGGACCAGGGAGTACACATGACATTCTGTCCACCACCCTCACGATTTACTCTTGGTGCAACAGCCTGGGCTTACCTATCCCTGCACTTAGAACGCACCTTCTGCCCTGGCCGGTTTGGCTCAGCCATTGGAGCACCAGCCTACGGACCAGAGAGTCCTGGGTTCGGTTCCCGCTAGGGCAGTGGTTCTCAACCTTCCTGATGCCGCAACCCTTTAATACAGTTCTCATGTTGTATGTGGGCGGACCCGCCTGGAGACGGATAGAGGAGTGGTGTCTCAGTTCCCAAGACCATCAGAAAAAATGTTTTCTGATGGTCTTAGGCGACCCCTGTGAAAGGGTCGTTCGACCCCCCAAAGGGGTCGTGACCCACAGGTTGAGAACTGCTGTGCTAGGGGCATGTACCAAAAAAAAGAACACACCTTTTTTTTTTTTTTTCTTCACTCCCTGAGCCCCCACTCCACACCAGACCCGGGCCTGGGCGCCAGCAGAACAGCAGACACGGACAAACCCCTGCCCTTACAGAGCTCCGGAGTGCAATTCTAGTGAAATCAAGATAACCCGTGGAGAAAATGACCAAGTGTTGAGCCAAAAACCAGCTCCTCTGGGCAGTAATAAAAGGGATTTCCTACTGTTTAAGTGAGACAGGAGCAGTGAAGACCTCAGGCGTCACCTACCAAGGCAGGGCCCTGCTGAGCTCCCTGACCCAGGTCTGGAAAAGCAAAGGGCTCCCTTTGCCGCAGTCCTGGGGCAGAGGGTCAATGCACAGGGCTCCCCGGGGGTACACAGGAGCATTTAAAAACCTGTCCCCAAACCAAGAGAACTGCCCCCTTCTTTTGAGATCGAGGGCCACCTGCATGGTGACCCTGCGGAATGGTGGCCTGTGCGAAAGGAGAGGCTAACTCTGTTCCCCTTGCCCGTGTTAGGAGCGACCGAAGGAACCAGGTGGCCTCCCGAGTCAGCTGTCCCTGGACCAGAACGGACATCCTGGGGAAGACAAGCCAGCGTGGCTGGAAGAGGAGCCAGAGCCACCGGACTCCGAGGAGGAGCAGAGACGCCAGGAAGAGTACTGGCGGGAACTGGAGGCCAAGTGCAAGCGGCAGAAGGCCGAGGCCGCCGAGAGGAGACGCCGGGAGGAGCAGAGGCTCCAGGCCCTGGAGAGGAGGCTCTGGGAGGAAAACAGAAGGCAGGAGCTCCTGGAGGAGGAAGGAGAGGAGGAGGAGAGAGCAGAGGGAGAACCACAGCTAGAGGCAGGCAACAGGCAGTGCCCCGAGGAGAGGCAGAGGCTGGACGAGCAAGGCGGCCGCGGCCAGGAGTGCAGGGAGCCAGAGGCAGGCAGGCACCAGGTGGCCGAGGAGCAGGAGCCCCTGGAGAAGGAGGCCGAGCGGCCGCAGAGCCTCCCGCGGCAGGAGGAGCTGGAGACTCGGAGCAGGCGGGAGGCCGAGAAGCAGCGGCAGGAGGAGGAGGAAAGAGAGCGGAAGGAACTCAGGAGACTGGAGGAGCTGGAGGAGCAGAGGCAGCAGGAAGCCGAGAAGCAGCGGCTGGAGGAAGAGGAGAGGAAGAAGAGGCTGGAGGAGCTCAGGCAGCAGAAGGAGCTGGAGGAGCAGAAGCGGCGAGAGGAGGAGGAGGAACGGATGAAGGAGCTCAGGAGGCAGGAGGAGCTGGAGGAGCAGAGACGGGGGCAGGAGGAGGAGGCCGAGAGAAGGAAAGGGCAGAGGCGGCAGGAAGAGGAAAAGGAGCCTCGGGAAGCACCGAGGGTGGAAGAGGCGAGTCAGCCGGCGTCGGATGACAGGAGCCCATCTCACACTGACCTTGCCGAGAACGCAGAGCAAGGACACCTGAAACCCGAGAAGCAGAGAGAAGACCCTGGGGAACCAAGCGTTTGCCAGGAGCAGAGCCAGGAGGCCGAGCCCTCAGGAGAGCAGCGGGGGGAGGTCCGTGGGCTGGATGATTGTACAGGTCAGGAGAAGAGAGAAGAAATGAGCCTCCCCTCGCCCCAGAAACAAGAGGGGCCGGGAGAGACACCGGCTCCAGTGGAGAAGAAAGAAGCTGCCACCCCAGAAAAAGACCGCAAGGTGGAGGAACTCAGGTGGCAGGAAGTGGATGAGAGGCAGACTATGCCCAGGCCCTACACGTTCCAGGTGTCATCAGGAGGGAGACAGATTCTCTTCCCCAAAGTCAACCTGAGCCCAGTGACGCCCGTGAAAGATGCGGGACCTGCTTCTGCTCCCCACGAGCCAAAGGCCCCCAAAGCCAGCCCTGCCTCCCACGCGCTGCCCTTGTCGCTCAGTATCCCCCACACGGCCATCCTGGTCACGGGAGCACAGCTGTGCGGCCCCGCTGTCAACCTGAGCCAGATCAAGGACACGGCATGCAAGTCTCTCCTGGGTCTGTCAGAAGAAAAGAAGCAGGTGGATGTCCCCAGCCTGGAGAACCCAGCCCGAGCCCCCGCCGATCCCCGCGCAGGCAGCGGGAAGGCCAGGCCCCCCCAGGAGTCTCCGAGCAGTGCGGCTGCGCTGGCCGAATGGGCTTCCATTCGGTCCAGAATCCTGAAGAACGCAGAGGGTGACCAGCACAGCAAGAGGGACCCGTCTCAGCCTGGCGATGAACAGACTCCCAGAGGCCGAAGCGATTCCCGCGGGAACCTCCGGAAGACCCCGCCAGGAAATGCAAAGTTCTCTATTATGCCTGCCTGGCAGAAATTCTCTGATGGGGGCACGGAGACCTCCAAACAGAACACAGAAGCTGAAAGCATTAGAAGGAGACCCATGCTGGAGGCCAGTGACAAGACGGCACCCCTGCCCCCGGCTGCCAATAGTAATGACCACTGCAAGGGCGCAGAGAATCTGGGGGTGCACCAGGAGCCAACGGACACCACCGAGGGATGCAAATTTGCCAAAGACCTTCCATCTTTCCTTGTTCCAAGCCTTCCTTACCCTCTGCAGAGAGCAGTGGCCCAGGCGGAGCCCGAGACCACGCTGGACAGTGAGACCTCCAGTGCTAGAGGAAAGGCAGACCCCGCGGTGCCAGGCGGGGAGGAAAAGGCCTCACCTTTTGGAATAAAGTTGAGAAGGACCAACTACTCCTTGCGCTTCCACTGCGACCAGCAGACAGAAAAGAAGAAGAAGAGGCACAGCAGCACTGGGGACGGTGCCGATGGGGGGCCGCCTGCACCGGGGAGCACAGATGGCGAGAAGGAGGCAGAGGGTGTGGCCCTCAAGCATGGCCCGGCCCTCCCCCCGGAGCGGAAGCAAGCCCCATCCACCTGGGAGGACTCTGCTGTAAGCCCCTCCAGCCCCTCTGCTGCAGTCCAGCCTGGACCCCCATCGGTCAGCAGCCAGACCCCAGCTCCAGAGCACAAGACAGCAAACAGAATGCCATTGGCACAGAAGCCAGCCCTGGCGCCCAAGCCCGCGGGTCAGACCCCGCCGTCCTCCCCACTCTGCAAACTGAGCAGGCCCTACCTGATGGAGCTGCTGGCCGGGCGGCCGGGGAAGCCTGACCCGGAGCCCAGTGAGCCGGGCAAGGAGGGCCAGGAGGGCCGCGCGCCCCGGCCGCCCTCACCACCACCCCCCGAGGACAGGAAGGCCCAGAAGAGGGAGGAGGAAGAGGTGGAGACCGAGAGGAAAGCTGCTGTCCCAGCTCTGGCTGCAGCCCCACCGGAGAAGCCTTCCCAAGTGCCCGAGGCTGGGAGGAAAGGTACGTAGCCATCCGCTGGGACCCTGCCTCTGCCCAGCTCATCATCCCGAAGCCGCACCCCGGGCTGGGGTAACCGGTGGGGTTCAGTGCCCATTTGCCATCCGGGAGGGAATTAGTGAGTCATTTACTTTTGTGAAAAGAAAACTTTTGTGGCCCAAAGCTTTTCTGAAAGGAAGAGTTTATTGAGCCACATGCTAGCCAGAAGAAGGGCCAGGCGCTGGGGCGTGCCGTCCGGGCCAGCAGCAGCCGGGCTGGGTGGAGAAGCAGCGGGGCCTGGGGCTGATGGGGCCTTTCTGTAGTGGTTTGGGGAAGAAAGATGAGAGTTGTTTTGTAAGGTGAAAAGGTGAAGCAGAGACAGTCTGGGATAGGTGCAGTGTCCCGAAGGGGGGTCTGTGCTACTTTTGGACTAGCTGCGGCCTACAGTCCGAAAGTTCAAGCATAGGTAGGACATAGTAGCCTCCGGATTGTTGGCCAAGGCCCTCTAGAATCAGGGACTTCTTTCCGCCAAGGGCCATTTGGATATTTATAACATCATTCGCGGGCCATACAAAATTATCAACTTAAAAATTAGCCTGCTGTATTTGGTCCAGCTCATTTGGTGGGGTGCGTGATGCTAGCTGGTCTTTTTTTTTTTTTTTGGTACATGCCCCTAGCGGGAACTGAACCCGGGACTCTCTGGTCCGCAGGCTGATGCTCCAACCGCTCAGCCAAACCAGCCAGGGCGATGTTAGCTGGTATTGATTTCACGGCCTTACACGGCCCACGAGCTGGACACTAAAAGCGGTGACGGCTACCTGGAGGCTGATTCCAAGTGTCAGCGTACTCTCGAGACTGGGGACAGTCTTTCATTTCTGCCAACAGTCATCAAATGGCGAACTTCCTTTCTCTCTCCCTGCTAGTCTCCGGCCTGCTGTAATTTAATTCAGGACACCTCAAAAGGTTCCTCACCACTTTTCCACTCTCCTCTACCATTGTGGGAATGTGAACTGACTCGGGCGTATAGATCTGCAGCTCACAGCCATTAACGATACTTAACACAAGAAATAAGGAGAGGTGCCCACAGCAGAGAAATGTCCGTCATCACTGGGAGGGCAGTGATGGAGAAGACACGTTCCTGGACCAGAGTCTCGGGAGCAATTCCGCAGTGGGAGCCTCGGGGGCTCTCACAGCTCCAGCGGCCTGGGGGTCCCTGTGGAGTTGGCTGGGTCTCAGTTCCATGCACAGTGCTCTGCAGCGCCTGCCCCACCAGCTTGCCGCTGGGAAGCCCTCCATAAAGAAATGCAGTCAGCGCCACCCCGGCTTCTGGCTGCCCCTCACGTTTCTTCACACGGATGCTCGTGTCGGCTCCCTGACCGCTTGGAGTGGCTGGGGGCCCCTGACAGCCTTGGTCTGATGCCTTCTCATCTCCGTTTGCAGAGTAGGCCAAGTGCGGGTCACAGCCCAGAGGTCACTCACGCTTCTCAGAGAAATTCTCCCGTGAGGTGTTTCAGGAAGGATTGTTTTTATTTCTTTTGTTTAGTTGTTTAGAGTTAGGGTGGTTCTCACAGAGAACAGACCTGTGCCCTGGCGGGTACTGGTTTGGTTGCCCACCTTACTGCAGCCCTGGTGCCCTGTGTCCCCAGCCTGGGTCCCTGGACTGTCGAGAGCAGCTTGGTTTCTGTTTGCCCGGACAGCGAGGAGCCCATGTTCAGTTTGGGGTTTTTCTTTTATCCTCTGGGCCTCAGGGCTAGGTGCTTTGGGGGCCTGTCTCTCAGGCAGAAGTCTTAAGATTGGGGGCACCAATAGTGGGGTCCAAACTCTTTGCCCCTCGGGGTTGTGAGTTTAGATGCCCGGGGTGGGATTAATGGTGAGAGTGTGTCAGCCTCTCCCCGCCCTTTGCCCAGTGGGTAGGAATCCCTCAACCCGTTTCTGGATTTTAATCAGAGGCAGTTCTGTAGCTGCAGACTCCGGTGTGTGTGGGAGGTGGGGGTTCGGGACCCCATGTCCCCATCTTGAACCAGAAACCCCCTTTTTAGTGTTGACGTTAGTGTTTGCATCGTTTGCTTTCAGAGTATCCTCAAGTCCCTCTGGCAGCCTGGTCTGCTCTTCCATACTCTGACCTTCTCCCCAAAGAAGTGACGCTCCAGCCCTGCATCTTTCTCTTACACGTGTCCCTTTGGTTACAGTTGTCCACCAAAAGCTGTGACTGCCCCTGTTTTCTTTATCGGTGTCCAGATTCTAGGTTGTCAGACTCCACTGATTTAGAAGCATGAAAACAAGGACTGCGTGCCTTGTGAGCAGTTGCTGCCCAAAAGCCTTTCCAGCTCTAGACCAGCAGCGGCCAAATTTGTTGGACTAAAGGCCCCATCAGAATAAAATTGCATGCACCTCTGATTTATTCATTAACTGGTACATGTTAAAACCCTGCCACAGTATCATCCAAGTCCCTCTCACTGAAAGGGCAGTGGTTGTAAATCCGTAGTACAAGTCACGGTGGTACCTTTCATTTCTTCAGCCAGCTTCCCGTCAGATCTGGTTGCTGTGAACACTGGCAGGCATGGAGCCTGTCAGCTCCGCTGTGTCCTGGTGCATTTGGGGAGGATATTAAATCTGTGGCTTGTTTGCAGGAATGGTCCATTTCATAAGGGACCATTTAGATCAAAGGAGGTATGACATTCCATAAACTTGCCTAACCACAGAACCTCACGATATGCTAAAAGCCAAACACGCGGGGACCACATGGCTGGTTCTCTCCCTGCCTCATGTAGCCTAACCACAGAACCTCACGATATGCTAAAAGCCAAACACGCGGGGACCACATGGCTGGTTCTCTCCCTGCCCCGTGTAGCGCTCCCAGCTCCCCTCCGGAGTCTGTAGACGTACCTTGTACCTGGCCTCCTGCTCTGTGGGCCGACTGAGGATGTCGGTGCCAGTCTAAGCATCAAATATTACTTTTATATTTAAAGATATGTAAATAGAAATTCTGAGCTTTTCTTCCTTTACCACCAGTGAATTACCTGGTACATTCCTCCCCCCTTTTTTCTTGGAGATCATTGCTTTAGAAAGAGGTTTCTTTTCCTGGGACTGAGGTCAGCGAGGACCAGTGCCTAGGTGAAGCCACCAGAAGGGCGTTGACTCTGAACCCACCCCGATGGGCATTAAAATCACAACGATCGTCCCCGTGTTTCTCCCCTGACACTTTGACGACAGACACCATCAGATGTCATGTCACTCTGAAGTTCCCAGCCTCCTATGTGGGTAGAACAGATGGTACGTGGCCCTTTCTCCAAGAACTAACCTTAGGAAGCAGAGACTCGAACCCTGTAATGCCAGGAGCTCCCTGCTCGTCTCCCGGCACCTGAAGGCGGGCATCTGAGTGGACTGTGTGTGGTTCTGCTTGTCGGCTGAGTTCAGAGTGAGAGAGAATAGGTTTACATACTGCAGCAAAACAGAATTTTAATTCACTATTTTGAACTTCCCAACCAAAAGGGTGTGTGATTAACAAAGAACATCTCGCCCTGGCCGGTTTGGCTCAGCGGTTAGAGCGCCCACCTGCGGTCCGGAGAGACCCGGGTCCGGTTCCCACTAAGGGCATGTACCTTGGTTGCAGTTTGTCCCCGGCCCTAGTTGGTCGTGCGGGTGGCAGCCACTCGATGTGTCCCTTCACATCGATGTTTCCCTCTCTCTCTCTTCCTCTCTCTCCCTCCCACTCTGTCTGTACAAAAAATGAAAAAATGTCCTCGGGTGAGGATAAAAAAAAACAAAAACAAAGAACATCTCTTTCGAACCCTTGAATGAAATGAGCGATTTTACTGTTTTGGAAAATTTCAGCAGTCATCCTTTGTGCTTAATCACGCCAGAGTGTTTGTATTTCTATTGTTCAGTTCGGTCTCACAGCACATGTAGAGGTAGACCGTCTTGGCTCCATTTTACAGATGACACCGACATCTGAGAAGTTAGGCGACTTGCCGGCTCTCCACAGTGGTCAAGCCAGGATGAGGAGGGGTAACCCAGGGCGGCCCCAGCAATTCTCACCTGGCGTTTGTGAGATGCTGTAAGCCTCTAAAACACCTTCTCATGCCCTGGCCGGTTTGGCTCAGCGGTTAGAGCGTCGGCCTGCAGTCCGGAGAGACCCGGGTTCGGTTCCCGCTAAGGGCACGTACCTCGGTTGCAGTTTGTCCCCGGCCCTGGTTGGTCGTGCGGGTGGCAGCCACTCGATGTGTCCCTTTCGTGTTGATGTTTCTCTCTCTCTCTCTTCCTCTCTCTCCCTCCCACTCTATCTGTACAAAAAATGGAAAAATGTCCTCAGGTGAAGATGAAAAAAAAAAATAAAACACCTTCTCATTACGTCCTCATGTCACCTTTCGGACCTTAGTCATATGTCTGTTCAGAAGAACATCGTTTAAAAAAGCCATAGGATTTGGCAAAGCCTCGTCTTACTCCTTTCCTTGCGGTTCCCTTAAACCCGATCTGTGATTGGGTTTAAAATGACAATCATTTTCCCCACGTCTCTTGGATAATATTTTGGGCCCAGTTCTTTCAGTCACTTTAGAAAACAGATTTTTATTGTGGCAAAAATGCGTGACATGAAATGTACTCTCTTGGCCATTTCTCAGTGTACAGTTCAGTACGCTTCAGCACATTCACACCGTGTACAACCAGCTTTCATCCTGCAAAACTGAAAGTCTGTGCCCTTCACCAAGTGCTCTGCCCCAGCCCCACCTTCTGTCTGCTGTGTCTGTGACTCCAGATGTGTCACAGAAGTGGAATCATACAGTGCTGCTTTTTGTGACTGGCTTATTTCACTTAGTATGATGTCTTCAAGGTCCATCCATGTTGTAGCAGGTGACAGGATGTCCCTCCTTCGTCATACACCCTTCTGGCATATACCACATTTGGTTTGTCCATTCATCATTGGGTTGCTTCCACCTCTTGGCTATTTTGACTAGTGCTGCTATTACCGTGGGTTCGCAAATATCCCTTTGAGATCTTGCTTTCAGTTCTTTTGGATAAATGCCCAGAAGTAGAACTACTGGGTCTTGTGGTAATTCTATTTTTTAATTTTTTGAAGAACCACCCCACTGTTTTCCACAGAAGCTGCACCGTTTTACATTCTATCCAACAATGCAGAGAATACCGATTTTTCAACATCCTCGCCAACACTTGTTATTTTCTGTTTTTTAGATTTTATTTTATAGTAGCCATCCTAATGGGCATGAGGTGAAACCCTCGTTGTGGTTTTGATTTGCGTTTCCCTAGTAACTGGTGATGTTGAGCATCTTTTCATATGCTTGTTGGTCGTTTGTATGTTTTCTTAGGAAAAATGTCTATTCATGTTCTTCACCCATTTTTTAATTGGTTATCTTGTTTTTTGTTAAGCTGTAGCTGTTCTTCTTATATTTTCAGTCACTTTATGAAAAGAAAAAGTCCTCTAGGGAATCTCAATAACAACAGTCTCATGTTGGTAATTAATATGTCCCCTCCAGTGTCGTAACCAGAACTCCAAACACCATTTCAGATTAGTGTGTCCCTTCTTATGTGGCCTGCTTCGGGCTGAAGCCCCGCAGCGGGGACACCGGCACAGCGACCTCCGCCCTTTCTCCCAGCCCAGAGCCGGAGTGGAGGGAGGGAGGGAGGTGAGGCATCGGTGCTGGCTGTTTTGAGGGCCGCTCACTGCTTTTCTGTGGGGCCCTTCTGTGCATTCCTCAGACCCCTACCTGCCACCTGGCCTCTCCATTTCTTACAATTCCATTCCCGTCAGGGGTGCTTCCTACAGGCCACCACAGATTTTTGGAATCAAAGACATTTATTGACTCTGTGTCTTTTCCAAAGAAACTCTCTACTGTGGTGTCTTCTGCCTCAACTCTGATTTCTCTGTGACCTTGAGGTGGCTGTTTGGCCAGCTCACGGCCCAGTCTTAGGAGCTGACCTAGCACTTGAGTTCACTGTGTGGGAGTTGGTGCCATGGGTTATCTGTTGCAGGCCTTTGGGCTTCCTTGACTGAAACTCAAACAGGAGTCCGGTTCAAACATCCTGGTTTCTGTTTATTGATCCCCCCCCAGCCCAGACCTGTTAGGCCCTTTACACATTGTGGTATATAATCTTGTTTAACATCTGGCCCATCACTCCAGGATGAGCTATTCAAACTGCAGCTCCAAGGAAACGAACATCTGGCTAGAGAGTTGTCTTTTCAATCAATTATAAATTTAGGCAATTACATTATAAAGGTATTTCAACCGTTGTGATAACCCCCGTTCAGAGTTGTTGGCAGAAAACTGGCCGGTTGCTTTAGTGACCTTCCTCAGCAAGTTCCGACAGAGCCGTCAGTCTGGGACTCCCTTTTACATAATAGCTTTAAACAGAAAGCACTCAGATCTTGGCAATTTGGTTTTCAGACAGTTTACAAACAGGTGTTACGGGAACTGCTGGTCCCGGGACCTGTACAACTTCCGGGCTCAGCGAAGCTCCTTTCACGTTCAGTTTTCAAGAAATACTTCCTTTTCTGTGCGAGGCCATAGCTGACTTTGTTCGATGATTAGGGAGGCTGCCAGGCCAGCGGCTCGTTACAAATATGGATTCTCTTTGTATAGCACTATAGATCTAAAGGGTGTAGAAAATTAAACAGAATCCGCCCTTTTTTTGTGCTTGAATTCCTAATTTGCATGTATTATGGTTCTTTCTTTTCAATGTAAAGAGCCCTGGTTGGTAAGGCTCTGGAAGATCAAAGAGTAAACTTCTGTTGGGTTTCAAAAGAACGGCACTACAGTGAGCCTCTTCCTTTGAAGACAGTAAGGGATTCAAATGCCAGGATGATTATCACTAAAAGTGCATAATTTTTACTTGAGGGAGAAGGGACTCACGGTCTGATAGGCGTGATAATAACAACACTCCCTTTTGCCGAGTGGTTTGCATATGCCAAGCACTGTTCCAGATGTTCTGATACCCAGGATCTCGTTTAATCTCCGTGGCAGCCTGCTGAGCCATGTGCCAGTGTCACGTCCACTTTAGGGATTAGAAAACTCAAACTTAGAGGGCGGACGCAGCTTTCCCAAGGCCACACAAGGTCAAACCCGAGTCTGCTCAGTTCCGGAGCCCAGCGTCTGCTGCCACCCACCTATGACATGGGTTTCCCCCAGTTGCACAGGCGAGACAGTCACCATAAGAGAAACAGACTGGAAGTCAGGAGCCCTTGGTTCAAACTGCAGCTGGTGCACTAACTGCTGGGTGACCGGGGGCACAGGACTTGATCACAATGCGCCCTAGTACTCATGTCTGTCAAAGGAGGACATGGGACCAAAACCACGTTTCCCACTGTGCCCTTAGAGCCCCACGAGGCAGAGCAGGGCCCCATTTTCCTCTTTCATACTTTGGGGTTCCACATAGGATACTGTTTGCAGAGGGGAAAGGTTCTTGCAAAAATAAACTTTAAAAAGCAACAAATAGCCCTGGCCGGTTTGGCTCAGCGGTTAGAGCGTCGGCCTGCGGTCTGGAGAGGCCCGGGTTCGGTTCCCGCTAAGGGCATGTACCTTGGTTGCAGTTTGTCCCCGGCCCTGGTTGGTCGTGCGGGTGGCAGCCCCTCGATGTGTCCCTTCACGTCGATGTTTCTCACTCTCTCTCCCTTCCTCTCTCTCCCTCCCATTCTATCTGTACCAAAAATGGAAAAAATATCCTCGGGTGAGGATTAAAAAAAAAAAAAAAAAAAGCAACAAATAAAAGAACAACAATGAATCGAATAACTGCCTGGGTTCCTTGTAGGTTTGAGATTTTATGACACTGAGATTTTTTTTAATGTTATTATTTTATATATTTCTTAAATATGTTTTTATTGATTTTTTTAGAGAGGGAGAAGGAGACAGAAACATGAATGAGGGAGAAACATCGACTGACTGCCCCCTGCACGCCCCCTACTGGGGTAGAGCCCACAACCCCGGCATGTGCCCCCCCCAGGAATCGCACTGTGACCTCTTGGTGCACAGGATGACGCTCGACCAACCGACCACACCAGCCAGGGCTGGAGACTTGTTTCTGTTTAGAGGGAAGAAAAACAATCTTGTTTCCTGTTGATCCAAGATGCCCCTTCCCTGCCCAGTGGTCACTCAGGCATCGGCACAGAGTTTGTATGGAGGCAGTTGACTGTTTCGTGGGTTGATTAATATGTCACAAGTTTTAGGGAACGAGGTACTGAGATAAGAGAACAGTTAGTTTCACTGCAAACTGGGTTTCGTCTTTACTAATTCTGATCACAAATCCAAGGTGCGTGTTGAGGGCAGGGGTTCTCACGCCGCCAAGCAAGTCTCAGACACCAGTGAGGTGTCTTATAATTCAACTTAATATGGCATCAGATTCTACAGATTGAAGGCTCAGTCCCATAAGTGTGCACCTTCAGATCCAGGTGCTTCTGACTGGTTAAAATCCTGTTCCCATGAACCCCCTCCTTGGGTTTGATTAATTTGCTAGAGCAGCTCACAGAACTCAGAGACACATTTTGCTGACTAGATCATTGGTTTATTATAAAAGGAGATCACTCAGGAACAGCAGGTGGAAGAGAGGCAAACAACAAGCTATGGGAGAGAGCACGGAGGTTCCAGACTCTCTGGGTGGCCACTCTCCCAGCACCTCCACCAGCCCAGAAGCTCTCCAAACCCTGGCCTTTGGAAGTTCATGGAGACTATTACATAGGCATGATTGATTAAACCTGCAGTGCTCTCCTCCCAGGAGGTCGGGGTTGGGATGACAGTTCACACCCTTTCATCACACAGCTGGTTCACCTGGCAACCAGCCCCCCTTCCTTCCGTGTAGTCCCAAGGCAGCCTCGTTAACATAACGAGACACCATCGTGCTGATCACTGAGGAGCTCGTGCCAGAAACCGGAGGAAGACCAAACATATACATTTCTTACTATACATCACAGCGTCAGTCTCCTTCCCCCACAGAAAAGCCGGTGCTGCAGAGCAGACACTCTCTGGACGGCGCCAAACTCGCGGACAAAGCCGAAACCTCGCAGCCGCTGTGGATAACGTTAGCGCTGCAGAAGCAGAGGGGCTTTCGGGAGCAGCAGGCCACCAGGGAGGAGAGGAAGCAAGCCAGGGAGGCCAAGCAGGCGGGAAAGCTCTCCAAAGACCACGTGAGTACCTGGCCTTCAGCTGGCACCTCGCCTTTCCGCAGGGATTTAAAAAGCAAGGAAGGCAGGGGAGCTAGGAGTGGCGGAGAGTATTTAGAAAGGGAAGAGCAGTAAACAAATTAACTACCGTTAGGCTAGAAAAGCATTTTCAGTTGGAAATTTGATTCTGTTTCCTGGTGCTGTTAGGGTACTTTGATTTGGCAGAATCTATGGTGTAATTAGTGCAGCGATTGACACACACAACAGTTACGTGAGAAATAGGGAAATGGTTGTTTGAGCAGGGCGCTGGGAGGAAGTCATTCCTCCTCTGTGAGTGACCCTGCTTTTCTAGTTAATTTGATGGGGCTGGTCTAGGAAGCTGGTTCCCTCTGGGACAGTTGTTCTGGGCTGCTTCGTGATGGGGGCCAGGCTGAGCACCACTGCCCCCAAGTGCACTGCGCCTGCTCCTTTGGGCGCCGAGGATGGGCTGACAGGCAGAAGCCCCCACGACCTTGCACTGGCCGTCTTTCCATGTGCTTCGGTGGAAGACATACTTTCCCTGGCTTTCTCTGCCCACGCAGGTCGGTGTCAGTCCACAGCCAGGAGGCAGCAGTGTCAGCAGAGCTGGATCCCTGCACAAGCCCGAGGCTCAGCCAGAAGAGAAGCCGGAGACGGCAGGGTCCAGGCTGGAGCGCAGAGAGCAGCTGAAGAAGGCCAACACCCTCCCCACGTCGGTGACAGGTAGCAGGAGCAGGACCGTTTCTGTTTACCCAGTCACAGGCTTTCCCCCTTAGAGCTTGCTCGCTTCCCTCCAGTGCAATAGCAGCGTTTCGGGCACTTCAGGGCACAGGCTGTTTCAGCACCCAGTTCATAATCTTTGAAACTGATCATCAAAGGGCACCCGAAACTCACCCACTGCCGTGGTGTGATGGTCAGTGTCTAACCGTCAGCTCTCGAGGGAGTAGGGAGACCTCTGATTTGTAGTATTTGCCATTTACTGTGGGTAAAGATTCCCACCACGGCCAGTTCGAGCTGTCAGTGTGGTCTGCTAAATTTCTGAAGTTAACAAGGCTAGTGCCGTGAGCCATCTCCAATGCCCCACTGCCTGTGGTCCAATAAAATTAGGTTTATTAACTTGCTGCAGTCAGAGAGTCTTCATATCACAAGCACCTCTAAACAGAGGAGGAGATAAGATGATAATAGGATTGGGGGGAAAGGCTGAAATCCAGGTAAAATTTAAATGGAGCAGTGTATTGATAGCCTTAAAGCAAAACAGGAGTGTGGGGTGTACATAAAGGGGTTGACATTAAGCCTGAGCTGAAATGCGGACTCAAGGCCCTGTTACCTTTGACCCAACAAAGTTAAAATAAGTATGTGACAGTTGTGTCTGAAAACCTGGGGCTCTGCACCTGGGATGGAATAGAAGCTGAGTTTCTGAGTCTGTGACCCAGGAGGCTCAGACGCTCCAGGCAAAATGGGCTGGTCCCTTCACGTTGTGGTCTCAAACGGCAAACATCTGACCCTGCTGTGACCTCAGAGAGCAGGGTGGCTCAGCTGAAGCCCTCGATGCTAATGAACAGCGTTGTTGATTCGTTCGTGACACATAAAAGACATACGCATTTTAAAAAATTCTTCATTCTAATAAAAGGTAAAATGATCCAGTAATGTTTCCAACTATTTGCTCATTACAAATCACCTGGAGGATGGATGACTCTAAACAAGTCTCCTCCAGGGGCTAATAGGGCATGTTTTCCCCACGGGGCAGCCCAGGACTTTTGTACGCCTCGGTTACCTGCTTGCTGAGTTCTGGAAATGTAGAGGTCTCGCCATGACAGCTGTATTTACTATTTGGTGAGAAGAAAGAAGTGAAAACCCCTTTGGAGCCGTGTACAATTCCTCCAGAACCTCCATGGGTATTATTTCATTTGATTTTTATGCCCTGGAATTAAGGGTTCTATACAGTGCCTGGGTGTGTCAGAGAGAATCAGTCCAACGTAAAGTGAAAGCTCCAAAGTCAGAGAGCTCACACCTTTCTCTGCCTGGTTTCCCGGCAGCTCCGAAGGGCTAATGCAGTTCAGACTGGCTCTTGGTTAACAGCACAAGCCTTTGTTCTGAAGCGCTGTCTTTTCCATCAGTATTTCCTGAGTTCTGTGTGTGGGCCATTGCCACAGGCACTAAATATGACCCGGAGAGCAGATGGGAACCCTCACCTGAAGAAGCCTTCAGGTGTGGTAAGAAAGTGACATGATGCAAAGGAATCGTTAGACAAGACTGAGAGTCCTAAGAGCTGGCAGGATCTGCGGGCCTGAGGGGACAGGACCCAGGGCAGGCTTGGTGGAGGCAGGGACTTTTGACCTTACCAGCTTGATAAAATTCAAACTGCTGGTTTGATCTTTTTCTTTGTGAAAATGATTGGCTATGAGTAGAATCACAAAAGTTACCTTTTCTTTTGTATTATCATGCAGACATAGCTTCTGTGCACAGAAAAAAAAATGCTTCTAGAAACTCTCTGAAATTAGAATCGACTGCACTGTGATCACTGTAATTTTGTACGTAACGGTTACGGTCACGTAGCTTTCTTTCTCTACTTCTCACTGCGGATGTCCGGTGTCGCACTGCGTTTTCCTTTCTGAATCCCACTGTATGATAAATCAAAGTGTGCCTCTGACTTACACCTTTCTCCTTTTCTTCAAAACGCAACCCAGTGGAGATCTCGGATTCGACGCCCCCCGCGCCACTGGTGAAGGAAGTCACAAAGAGGTTTTCCACCCCAGACGCTGCCCCGGTGTCAACAGAACCAGCCTGGCTGGCTTTGGCCAAAAGGAAAGCCAAGGCCTGGAGCGACTGCCCGCAGATCATTAAGTAAAGACGTGTCCATTCCTGCTCCCAGCTATGGCTCCGCTCTTGCCCTTTTTATTTATTTATTTTTTATATGAGGTAAAGACACCAAGCTAGGGAAAAGAAGCATGTTTTATAGGCTCTCAAATAACATGTAGAAACTGAACTGGTGGTGTTCCTTGTAAAGAAGTGTATTTGCACAACCCTCGGTCCTGGTGCCTTGAGCTCCTCCGAGTTCTGAAGAGAACGTTCTGTTGAGGGACCACAGGAAGCAAATCCCCGACTAAACTCCTCAGGAGGGCCTGCCACCCGCTCCACTGCCCTTCCGCTCCGCACATCCGCACACCACTGAATATATACTATTGCCAATCTTTGTAATGTTTTTTTTTTTTTACTCTATGCTCCAATTTCTTTTATCCAAAGCATTTACCCTGCCATTATGTTTAGGGATATCTACCTTTTTATACAAAAATGGTAAAGGACCATACGGAGATAGAAATAAGAAGGCCCATTCTCCTGAGTGCAGCAAGTAACTGTGAATTGCAAGTAATAGTCTGGCTCCCACTCTGTGCTCAAGTCTGGTGTTCACAAATTTTCCCTGACTGAGACTGTAACACAGAAAGCAAATCCATCCACACTTCTACCACACTGTTGATCCACAGGCCCCATTAGACCAGAACTCTCTTTAAGGACGTGTTGAACATTTGGCCCATTTGGCTTCCAGGCAACACTTTTATTTAACAGATACAGAAAGGAAGCTACAAATTCTGTCTGAGACTCCCCGATCTAGTACAGTTAGTTATTCCTAAGATGTCCAGGGTCCATCCTAGGCCTGCTGTGAGGAGGACAAGGCCAGAAACGAATATTCTGACAAAAACTCTTCAAATGAATTCTGATCTATCCTAAAGGTTGAGAACCTTGGAATACACTGCTTCTAGTACACTCTAGTTTTTAAAACTCTGAAAGGGAGACTCATTTCACCCAAAAAAGCAAAAGGGAGACAGGAAAAATAATAAAACAACTCCTAAACCAGCTGTTTATTAAAGATACAAGAGGCTACTGACATTGCATGTCTCTGAAAATTCCCTTCCATCTTTAGGGAAAGTTACCAGGAAGATAATACTTGGAGCCTTTGTACTAAGGACCTCCCGTGGGAAGCTTCTTTCTGAACCATAATTGAGTGATTCGTCTTTAGAGTCAAATATTCAATAGCACTTGTAATTTAGAGCATTCACCTTGCTACCTTTAAAAAACATCTCAGAGTTTTAAGTGGCCTTGTTATTATGCACATGTGATATAAAGAAGGGACCCGGCTATTTAAAAGCCCACATATATTCACTATTTCCCTAAGTTTGCTTTACATGTAACACAGACATACAGCAAACCCACACACTGCTGCTGCTGACTTCACATTTCATGGTGTTGGCATAGTCCCATTTTCTTCGCCCCGACTCCAAAGTGTAAGTACAAGTCTTTTGCCCAGAGCAGTGAGAATTATATCATTTCCTTTCCTACAAAAAAACCTCATTTTATTAGTATGCATCATTATTTTCCTGTATGCGCACTCAAAAAGCAATGTGCTGTTATTCTGTGCTGTTAGTCTACCATTTACCTTAAAGAAAGGATGACAGCAGTTATTTACCATAGAGAAGGCATTTTCTTTCTGGAAACGACGGCTCGGCCTTATGGTAGCAGCTAGCATGTGTGGTCATATGGATAGTTGTACTCTTGCAAGTTGGAGTTAATATTTTATATATACATACTGGACCTTCAGACTGTTAAGAATCAATGTAACTTCATGTTTTATTGCTATGGGAAGCAACATTCCACTGCACGTTTTCCAACTGATGTTCATTTCTAAATCAAATATGTATACATTTGTTAGTTTCAATGATTTCCTAATAAAACACTTTTTAATAGGAATTTTTCCATCTAGAGTCCTGGAATTTTAGTGCTACATTGATTCTTCTGAACTTTCTCTTTCATCCTGTCAGCTTTGGATATCACAGAATGGCAGAGAGCAAGCCAAGAAATCAGATTATTAACAAAGAATGTAGATGAGTCCACTCTGTGCTGGCTCACCTGTAAAGCCCATCAAAGCAGGAGAAATGCCTCAGTTAAAAGTTTCCTCCAACATCTTTAAGAGCACACTGAGGAAAACACAGCCACCACACTACTTCCAGTAACACAATGGCTACATGTTTAATATTTCATGTAAAAATTACTCCAAATTTGCACTAAATACCAATGAAGTGTTATTTTGCTTTGGTTGTGTTGCAGTCTTTTCTCATCAATAAACTAGGGGGGAAATTCTGTAAAGACATAAAAAATTCAAGACTTTTTAAAAAATCCTATTGCTATGTTAAATACACAGCTTTTTAAAAAAAATTAAAAACAAACACACACTTCTCCTGGCAAGGTTATAGATGATTAACCTCTGTTTATACATATATATATACACACACATACATATATATATAAAACTCGAGTTTTTTGTTTACTTTTTAAATTTTTCAAGTGCAATTGTTTCTTATACATTAATTACTATTAAATTCTCATTTTAGCCAGTTATCAGCAAATTGTAGTATGTATTCATTGTCTCTTCTTGTGATGTTTAATTGCTTATTTTAAAGCAGAAATATTAGAGTTACAAGTGTCTTGCAATATTTTTACCAACAATAAAATTAAGTAGAAAGTTAACCATAAAAATACCTTAGTGCGATTTTAATATTATTTTAAGATTTTGGTTGTATAAACTCGTAATGTAAAATGTCCATTAATGAAGGAAAAGGATCTTTCAATAAAAAATACCCACAAGATCTTCGTCACCAACAGAATTTCCTTTTCAAGTTTACATTTTTATTAATTTCAAGCAAGCTCATATTTACATAGCTTTTGTTGCGAAAGAACAATTTCAAGGCATTTTATATGGTACTTTATTACATTTTTTACTAGGTGTTTTTGGAGAAAAATAATGAATAGTGTCAAAATGTTTCTCTCAATCCTGAGTTGGAGTCAAATGGTCTGTGTCTCAGACAATATGATCGTCCTACAACCTCCTTACTCAAAGCATGGGTCCTGGAACAGCAGCATGGACATAAGCTGAAAGCACGTGAAAAACACAGTGTCGGGTCCCCCAGGCCAGACCCACTGACCCACATGGCTGGGCTAGGTCAAAGTGAGTGATGTGAACGAGGTACTTGCCTTGGGTGCAAAAAAAAAACAAAAACAAAAACTCAGGACAAAACTTTTGGAGTACAAACATATACTATATTTAGAGCAGTTCCTCCTCAGAGACATCAGAGGGCCGACTGAACAGCTTCTGCACAACAGACAAAAGAGAGCACGTGGAAAGGCTGGGGAAGAGAGAGCCCTCTGGGAGCGGAGGGAACTGTCCAGGATGGAGGAACTGGTGAGCGGCCTTGTTTACGTTTCCCCTGCACTTGGACAGCGAGCAGTTCTATCAGGTTCTCTGGCTGACCTGACGGCCACTTCAGCATGTCCCCAGCCATCTTTCCTGGAGCCAGATCCAGCAGGATCAGGAGGTGCCTTAGCCCACACATGTAGGGCCCCTTCTGGAGGTTGATATTTAAACTTTAAAAAAGCACCCAATAGGCACTCTCTCTCCAGGGACCCTGCCCTGCTCAAATCTTCTTTTAAAGAATATTTTCCGACTTCTGGTCAAGATGGCAGCGTAGGTAAACGCGGTATCACGTCCTCCCACAGCCACATCAAAGTTACAACTAAACTACAGAACAACCATCATTCAAAACCGCCTGAAATCAGACTGAAAGGAAGTCCTACAACTACGGAATTAAAGCAGCAGCCGCATCCAGACTGGTAGGAGGGGCAACGGGCTGGTCCCACACCCACGTGTGGTGGATAAAAATCAGGAGGACACCTCAGCTGGGAAGGTCCTCCCTGAGGACTGAGGGGGTCCCCATCCCACACCAGGTGCCCCGCTCAGGGTTCCAGTGCCAGGAAGAGAATCCCCATAACTTTTGGCTGGAAAAACCAGTGGGAACAGAGGCTCAGGGAGGCTGAGGCAGCTGGAACCCCAGGCAGCTCCTCTTAAAGGGCCCGCGCATGGACTTACTCGGACTTGCTCCCTCTAAGCTCAGAGGGCAAGCAGCTTAAGGGGTGCCAGAGACATACAGGGAAGAACTGAGCTGTTTGGCATTGGAACGAGGGCTGGAGAGGGGGCTTCCTCCTCAACAGACATGTTGTCAGAGGCCTTTGTTCCTTTGGTGAACCCTTCCCTGGGGCGGCAGACAGCCATCATGTCTGGGACTCCAGCAACTTGGCTCATACTGGTTGCTCCACCCTCAGGGTGACACCCTGAGGCCCCGCCCCACCCAACTTTCAGGCCCACCCAAGCTGTTGCCAGTTGCTTAATCATAGGATTGGATCCTGCTTCAGATTTTCCTAAATTCTTTCAAACAAGCAGCATCTGGTCTCAGCTAGCCCCATACCTCTCGTTAAGTAACATACAGAAACAAACACAGGGAGGCAGCCAAAATGAGGAGACAAAGAAACAGGTCCCAAATGAAAGAACAGAACAAAACCCCAGGAAAAGAACTAAGTGAAATGGAGATAAGCAACCTAACAGATGCCGAGTTCAAAATACTGCTTATAAGGATGCTCAATGAACTTAGTGAGAACCTCAGCGAATTTAGTGAGGGCGTCAGAAATGAAGGAGGCACTAACTGAAATAAAGAATGATTTACACAGATTCAGTAGTAGAGAAGGTAAAGCCAAGTAGCAAACCATCAATTTGGAATATAAGGAAGCAAAAAACACCCAATCAGAACAGTAAAAAGAAAATGAAAATCCAAAAAAAAGGATAGTGTAAGGAGCCTCTGGGACAACTTCAAGCGTGCCAACATTTGCATCTTGGGGGTTCCAGAAGGAGAGAGAACAAGGAATCAAAAACCCATTTGAAACAATAGTGGCAGAAAACTTCCCTAACTTGGTGAAGAAAACAGACATACAAGTCCAGGAAGCACAGAAAGTCCCAAACAAGATGAACCCCAAGAGGCCCACACCAAGACACATCATCATCAAAATGCAAAAGGTTCAAGACAACGAGAGAATCTTAAAAGCAGCAAGAGAAAAGCAGTTAGTTACCTACAAGAGAGCCCCCATAAGACTGTCAGCTGAGCCCTGGCCGGTTTGGCTCAGCAGTTAGTGTGTCAGCCTGCGGTCCAGAGAGACCTGGGTTCGGTTCCCGCTAAGGGTATGTACGTTGGTTGCAGTTTGTCCCTGGCCCTGGTTGGGTCATGCAGGTGTCAACACACTCTATGTGTCCCTTTCACGTTGATGTTTCTCTCGCTCTTCCTCCCTCCCCCTCTATCTGAACAAAATATGGAAAAATGTCCTCAGGTGAGGATTTAAAAAAAAAGACTGTCAGCTGATTTCTCAAAAGAAACTTTGCAGGCCAGAAAGGAGTGGCAAGAAATATTCAGAGTGATGAAAATAACCTACCAAGGTTACTCTATCCTGCAAAGCTGTCATTTAGAATCGATGGCCATATAAAGAGTTTCTCAGACAAGGAAAAGCTACAGGAGTTCATCACCACCAAAAACCATTATTATATGAAATGTTGAAGGGTCTTCTTGAAGAAAAAGATAAAAAATATGAACAAAATGGCAATGAACACATATCTCTCGACAATTGAATCTACAAACAAAATGAACAAGCATAACAGAAACATTTTAATAGATACAGAGAACATTTTGTTGGTTGCCAGATGGGAAGGGCATTTGGGGAATGGGTGAAGGGATTAAGAAGTAGTCCTGGCCAGTTTAGCTCAGCAGTTAGAGCATCAGCCTGGGGTCCAGAGAGACCTGGGTTTGGTTCCTGCCAAGGGCACGTACCTTGGTTGCAGTTTGTACCCGGCCCTGGATGGGTCGTGTAGGTGGCAACCACTTGATGTGTCCCTTTCACGTCGATGTTTCTCTCTTCCTCTCTCTCCCTCCCACTCTATCTGAACAAACAATGGGAAAATGTCCTCGGGTGAGGATAAAAAAAAGTAGTAGTACAGATTGGTTGCTGGACTGACAGACTTCAAGGAGAAAGGGAGTTGGGGGGTGGGAAGAAATAAACCAAAGAACTTATATGCATATATGCATAACCAATGGACACAGACAACAGTGTGGGGAAAGGCAGGAGGGGGATGGGAGAGGGGAGGAGGGTGGTCAATGGGAGAAAAATGAGGAACATCTGTAATACATTCAAGAATAAAGATAGGTTTAAATAGATAAAGATAAAAAAATAAAAGATAAAAAAAAAAAAGTGTATTTTCCTAAGCTCCAAGGGCCCTTCTTTTGCCTCTATAACTTGTTTCCTTAGCCCATCTCTTCTACAGCTCACTTATACTACCTCTATAACTTTCTAAATACACCTTCTCTTATCATTTGAAACAATGACATTTGACCCAACATAGGTGAATCTGCAGAGTATTAGGCTAAGAGAAATAAATCAGATGGAAAAAAATGAGAACCATATGATTTCACGCATATGTGGGATATAAAACCAAAAGCAACAAATGAACAAACTCACAGAGACAACAGAATGGTGGTTACCAAAGTGGAAGGGGTAGGGGGAGGATGAAGAGGATAAAGGGAGTCAAAAATATGTGACAGGAGACTAGACTTCATGTGGTGAGTACACAATAGAGTACAAAGATGTCATAAAGCTGGACACCTGAAATTTATGTTAACCAACGCTATCCTAATAAATTGTATTTAAAAATTAAAATTACTCAATGAGGAACCTAATTTGATGACTAGCTCCTACCTTTAAAAATCTTTTATGGCCCTGGCCAGTTTGCTCAGTGGTTAGAGCATTGGCCTGCGGTCCAGAGAGACCCGGGTTCAGTTCCCGCTAAGGGCATGTACCTCGGTTGCAGTTTGTCCCTGGCCCTAGATAGGTCATGCGGGTGGCAGCCACTCGATGTGTCCCTTTGACATAGATGTTTCTCTCTCTCTCTTTCCCTCTCTCTCCCTCCCACTCTATCTGAACAAAAAAAATGGAAAAATGTCCTCGGGTGAGGATTAAAAAAAAAAGTCTTTTATGTATCTCAGTAGAAATGAGTGAACAGTGTATGATCTCACAGATAAGTTTTTAAGCCACCAAGTGTATTCTGACTTTTTTTGCAGAGGTCTTCCATAAAAAATAAAATATCTGTAGCCTCATTTTAAAAAGTCCTACTAAATATATTGATGTGTTTTGTTTTATAACTCCTTTTAAAAGTATTTGTTGCTCCTATAGGAAATAAAATATGGTTGTTCTCCAGTAAAGTAATAGACAAGTTTCTTAAAATATTATCTTTATTATAAAACTATCCACATGCTTTATAATGGTAAATATTTCCAAACATCTCAGATATATTCTAATAAAAGCTGTACTTGATTATTTTTTATTGCTACCTAATAAATCCAGACAATAAACATAATTATTTCTACATCCAACAATAAGCATTGATTCCCACACCACAGGAGAAGAGAATACTTCTCCAGGAAGTTCATACACACTTTGCAGTTGTCCACTCTTAGATTCCAAGATCCACACTTTCCCATCAGTAGAGGCTGCTGCCAGCAACATTTCACTGCTATGCTTGTGGTGATGGAAAGCAAATGGTGTTGAATACACCTTTGAGGTAGTTTCAAATTTCCACTGGAGGTGACCTTTCATACTACAACAGTAGATGAAGCAATCATGGGAACCAAAAAATATTTCTTGCTCTGATGTGGAGGGACACGGGGATGAGAAGATTGGCTCACTGGTAGAGAACTGCCAAACCTGAAGGGTGATAAAGGCAGAAATCATTCATTCATCTCCTTTCAACAATTCTGTACATTAACACTTAATGAAATACTTAACAATATAAGAGATGTTGGTTATTGAATGATAATGGCTTTTTAGACCTCTGTCCCAGTGGTGAAATCTAGCACAAAATACACCAAGTGTCCTTATTACATGAGTCATTGCTATGCGTGATATGAAATAAAATAAATTTGAATCCCATTCAAAAATTATGACTAGTATGTTCAGAGACACTGACTGCAAAAATAAAACCTACACTGAGTTTTCAATGTACCTTGTCAAAAACTATCTTACTGTAGTCTAATGTAGGAAAAAGGAAGTAAATGGACTGAAAGAGTTCACGTTCAATTATTTAAATTAAAGCTTTAAACAAGAAGCTATGAGGTGTGTGCCTGACCTATGGATATATAATATTTACTTATTTCAAAGCTACTACTAGGGCCTGGCCGGTGTGCCTCAGTGGGTGGAACATTGTCCCATGGACCGAGATCCTGGTTCCATTCCTGGTCAGGGCACATGCCCAGGTTTCGGGCTCAATCCCCAGTAGGGGGTGTGCAGGAGGCAGCCGATCCATGTTTCTCTCTCACACTGATGTTTCTGTCTCTCCCTTCTTCTCTCTCCAAAGCAGTGGTTCTCAACCTGTGGGTCGCAACCCCTTTGGGGGTAGAATGACCCTTTCACAGGGGTCCCTAAGACATAACAGTAGCAAAATTAGTTATAAAGTAGCAACAAAAATAATTTTATGGTTAACATGTGGAACTGTATTAAAGGGTCATGGCATTAGGAAGGTTGAGAACCATTAGGAAGGTTGCATCTAAAGCAATAAAAACATTTTTTAAAAAAGCTGCCCTGACCAGTTTTGCTCAGCAGTTAGAGCATCAGCCTGCATACCAATGAGTGGTGGGTTTGATTCTGGTCAAGGGCATGTACCTCGGTTGCGGTTCAGCCCCAGCCCTGATTGGGGTCATGCAGGAAGCAACCAGTCGATGTATCCCTCTCACATCTCTCTCCCCCCCACCCTCTTCCCTCCCACTCTATCAGAACAAAAATGGAAAAATATCCTTGGGTGAGGATTAAAAAAAATAGTAATAAAGAATAGTCACTTGCAGGTACTTAAACAAGTGGAGACACTGCTCCCAACAAAAGATCTACTATAACCCAGAAGGAGCCTACCCTGCCAGTCATGAAAATGAAGATGGGATCTCCACACAATGGAATGTGGGTTACACAAGAGATTTTGGTTTTCATTGAAAAAGCAGGGGCTTCTTTAAATTTTCATAACCTTAATAAAAGTGTTTTTTGTTTTTTATATCCTCACCTGAGGACATTTTTGCATTTATCCTGAGATAGAACGGAAGGGAAAGAGAGAGGAAGAGAGAGAGAAACATCAATGTGAGAGAGAGACATCGACTGGTTGCCACCCACACGACCCCAACCAGGGCCGGGGACAAACTGCAACCAAGGTACATGCCCTTAGCGAGAACTGAACCCGGGTCTCTCTGGTCCACAGGCCAACGCTCTAACCATTGAGCCAAACCAGCCAGGGCTTCAATAAAAGTTTTAATAAAATTCGTTTAAAACTAAATTTTTAAAAATTAGGGGAGGGAAAATGGCACAAGTATAACAATGTTTGGATAAATCTTATAAATCTATTGGACCATTCACAAATTAAGAAACCCATGGCCCAGCCTGGCCAGAGTGGCTCAGTTGCTAACCCTGTGCACCAAAAGGTTCGATTCCCAGTTGGGGCACATACCTGGGTGCAGGTTCGATCTCTGGTCAGGGCACATACAGAAGGCAACCAATCAATGCTTCTTCTCTCACATGGATTTCTCCCTCTTCCTCTAAGTATGTCCTCCAGTGAGGATTAAAAGAAAAAAGAAACAAGAAACCACCCTGGCCCGTTTGCTCAGTGGTTAGAGCACCGACCATGGACCAGAGTCGTGGATGTGTCCCTCTCACATCAATGGTTCTCTCTCCCACTCTATCTGAACAAAAATGAAAAAAAATATCCTCGGGTGAGGGGAAAAAAAAAGGAAACCCATGGCCTGACAAAACAGAACTAGTTTTCAACACGAGTTGAATAATGGCATTTAAAACTTTACTTCAGTTGTTACCAACTACTATTCCTTGGAGAAAGATATATAAAACAGAACTAGAAAAATGTACCTGTTCTCCAAAGTGAGTAAAGCAGAGTAAATTCCCATCTACACAGCCAATGCAAACATACTGTAGGCAGCACCGTGGAGAAGAGAAGAGTGGTTTCCCACAGGAATGTTTCCAAACTCTATTTCCAGTGGCCTGTCACGAGCAAAAGCAATTCATAGCATTTCAATCATTTTAATCAATTAACCTGTATAAAACAAACTCATAAATCTCCCATAGGAAAGCTATAAAACATAAGAAAATGCTAGTGACATGCCAATATACAAATGAAGCTAGTACAAATATACACGGCTATAAAATCAATCAGTGCTATTTATGAGACTAAGATAAACCTAGGAAAGAAATAACTAGCACATATCTATCCTTAGACCATTCTAACTTCTAATATGAATGAGAAAATTCTGTCGATTTAAAAGGTAGAAAAAAGACATGCACAGATTGCAGTTGATTTTTGTCATCTTTCTAGACTTCACGTCAGTCATTCTACATGAGTTCTGGTTCAATGATGTGTGGACTAGATCTAACTGAAACTACCTCCAATTTTCAGAATTCAAAGCAAAAATAAAAGAATATTAAAGAAAAACAGGTAATAAAATAAATACACATTATTTTATGCCTACAGGGTTTACAGCCAGTAAAAGTCCTCCCAGTGTAGCAAAATACAAGTGATGTGGAATCAAGTTCAAACACGGTGAAGAAAAGACAGTTCCTCCGCATTTTAACTTCCAAACACACTTCTTTTCCTGCAAATAAGGAAGCAAATTAATTGGTTTGTACTGGTGGTTAACAAATTCACATATCCTATTACATGCTATGTCTATTTAATTAATGTAAGTTTTTATTTTTAATATAGAAGTAATACAAGCTCACTGTGGAGAATCAGGTGGTATAAAGAAGACCAAGGCCATCCACTGTTAACATTTTAGTATTTTGCTTTTGATCTTTTGGGTACACATACATACATGGTACACAGAGTTTAATATAGTTGAGATCATTCTGAATATATACTTGGTATCTAATTTAGCTCACTTTTTTCTCTTTAAGTATTACTGTAATGTATAATATCCCATATAAACAAAATAATTTATCTACCTAATCACTGAATATTGTTTCGAACTAATTTCTTAGAATTATAAACAACTTGGAAATAGACATGATGGTGCATATATTTGTCCATGTTTCTGATTATTTGCCAGGATCCATTTTCAGAAGAACTTTACTGAATCGAAGGATATGAAATTTTTACCTATGGCCAAATTGTTTTCTCAGAGGCTTCACTAGTCACAACCTCAGCATTTAATATTATCATTTTAATCTAAAACCATTTGTTTCTCAGTTTTAAATTTTCATTCCTTTGATTATTAAAGGATTGAAACATTTAAAAACATTTACTAGCCATTTCTTTGGAGTCCCTTGTTTATTTTTCTATCTGGGTCTTTATATTTTTCTTATTAAATTGCATTTACTCTTTATTTTCATTCATACTTATAAATTAGTTTTAATTGTTACATTTGTTTAAATTTTCCCCCAAACTTATATCTTTTATTTTGTAATTCTAAAAAAATTTTTTATTTTTATGTAATCAGGTCTTACTGATATTTTCCTTTGTGACTCTTTTCTATTGTCAAGATGATAATTCTAAGTTCTTTATATTTCAAAACTCTGAGTAGCAAATTTATTTGTGAAAATTTGGTAAGAAAGTTAAAAATGTCTTCAGGTGTAACTGTTTTAACTTCTTATTCTTCCCATATCGCAATGCTAAACTTGGAAAATCCTTACCACTTGCCCCCTTGGTCAAGAGCACCTGATAGTTTTATACTCTTCTACATATGAGACTGATAAAGTAAATTCGTACATAAATATCCAAAGCATACGCATGCTGGTCATGAGAGCCAAGGTAAAGGACTCCTGTGGTTGGGTCCATGGTTGCCGAGCTTTTGACAGCATCCTCAGTAGTAAACATCCAGTATTTCTCCCCATTATTACTTTTCAGAACATAAACTGACCCATTATAACAGCCTATTGGGAAACAAAATGTAAAAGATGAGATTTAGACATTCACTGGAAAATAATTCTTTAGCCTAAATCATGACAATTTACAGTTAATGCTCTTCAAGTGTACTTGGTTTCAATGTTCAGCTCAGATTTAAATTTCAACAATGTAAAGCACAAAACCAAACAGTAGTAACTTGTGTAAAATACTTATCTGGCAGGTATGCCTTATAATTTTTTTTTTTATCCTCACCTGAGGACATTTTTCGATATTTTGTTCAGATAGAGTGAGAGGGAGAGAGAGAGAGAGAAACATCGATGTGAAAGGGACACATCGAGTGGCTGCCACCCGCAGGACCAACCAGGGCCGGGGACAAACTACAACCGAGGTATGTGCCCTTAGCAGGAACCAAACACGGGTCTCTCTGGACCGCAGGCCGACACTTTAACCACTGAGCCAAACCGGCCAGGGCACCTTATAATTTTTTAATATATTTTTAATTGACTAAACATTTTTTTAAAATATGTTTTTATTGATTTTTTTAGCGAGAGGGAGATAGAAACATCCATGTGACAAATGTCAATTGACTGCCTCCTGCACGCCCCCTACTGGGGATCGAGCCTGCAACCTCGGCATGTGCCCTGACTGGAAATGGAACAGGGACCTCTCAGTCCTTGGGACGAGATTCAATCCACTAAGCCACACTGGCTGGACTTTTTTTTTTAATCCTCACCCAAGGATATTTTTTCCCTTTTACCTTCAGATAAAGTGGGAGGAAAGGAGGGAGGGAGAAAGAAAGAAACATTGGTGTGAGAGAGACACATCTATTGGTTGCCTCCCGCACGACCTCAACCAGGGCCAGGGACCGAATCACAACCGAGGTACGTGCCCTTGACTGGAACTGAACCCACCACTCTTTGGTCTGCAGGCTGACGCTCTAACCACTGAGCAACTGGTCAGGGCCTGGCTGGGCTATTTTTAATTGATTTTTGAGAGAGAGGAAGGAAGAGGGAGAGACAGAGAGAGAGAAACACTGATGTGAGAGAAAAATATCCATCAGTTGCCTTCCGTACATGCCCCAACCTGGGACCAAACCCGAATCTGAAACCCAGGCATGTGCTCTGACTGGGAATTGAACTGGCAACCTTTTGGTGCACAGGACAACACTCAACCAACTGAGCCACTCTGACCAGGCAGCACCTTATCTTTAAAAAATATTATAAAGAGCTTCACCACTAAGGAAACAATGAAGTATTCTACAGAGGAGAGAGGCTGACAGACCCAGACTCAAATCCTGTCATAGTCATCCTTGAGCAAATTACCCAGTGTCACTTAGCCTCAGATTACTGTTCTGCTGAATGTGGATACATCTACTTCCAGGGTGATTGTGACAATTAATATAATGTGGAAAAACACCCAGTTCAAAGAAGGTATTAAAAAATGCTAACATTAACAGAAGCCAATGCTTATTGAGTTTCCTCTACCTTTTGAAGGGTACTATTTTAAGAATTTTACATCTATTAACTCATGTATCGCTCACAGTGAAGCAAGGACTATTATATCTATATTTTATAGATGATAAAATTGAAGCACAGAGATTACAAAATTACTAGGGCAGAACTCAGCTAATATGTTGCAGAGAAGATTTTGAATTTAAGAAGTCAAGCTCCAGAGCCTGTGCTCTCAACAGCTACAACAGACTGCTCTTCCCAACCTGCTGGTATGAATGAGAAGACAGGGCAGGAGCGCCTGACCTGGTGTAGACAAAATAACCCAGGTGGAAGTAGGGATGGTCAAAATCTACAGAGCAAAGATCACTGAAGTTCCCTGGAATGCACGTAAACCAGGGAAGTTTAATTTGCGCACTGGCCCACCCCTCTCTAGATGATTCTGTCTATGGTTTTAACCACTGCTGCTCACTTGAGACCCAATTTCCAGAATACCTGCTATGCTGGTTTTGTTTTGTTTTGTTTTGTTTTTCTGGCAATTACTGTTTGTAGCAAGAGATGGTCTGCTTAGTGATGGTAAAGAGAAATAACTACATAGTAAACACCCCAGGACTCAGCAAGATAATGAAAATTTCTTTTAGTTCAGTTCAATTCCAGAAGAAAATCTCGTGACCCTGGGTTAGGCAAAGATTTCTTAAATATGACATCAAAAGCATGATGATCCATAAAAGAAAAAAAATTATAAACTGAACCTCATTAAAGTTAAGAATTTCTCTTCAAAAGACACTACGTTAAGAGAATGAAAAACAAGCAACAGACTAGCAGAAAACATGCAAAACATCTGATAAATCTGTATCCAGAATACATAAAGAATTCTCAAAACCCACTAAGTAAACAAACATAACAAGTTAAAAAATGGGTAAAAGAATCTGAACAGACACTTAAGATATACAGATGGCAAATAAGTTTCTAAAAAGAGGTGCAACATTATTAGTCATCAGGGAAATGCAAATTAAAAGCACAAAATACCACTCCATAAATATCTGACTAAAATAATAGTGAATTTCATTAACGTGGCTACAGCTGCCAGAGCTTCCCAGAGCCAAACCATGGCACCCTGGAGCCAGCGCCACCATCCCGCCCCACAGCGATGGCACTGCTGCACATGCAACCCTTGGCGCTGGGGTCCCTGGGACTGGCATCCCTGCATGACCCTGGACCCAGCACCAGACTCGGCACAACAGTGCACCTCACCGAGTAAGTGTCCTCACACTGACATACAGGTTAGGATCTTTACCGAAAGCAGCCAGTCGATGACGTCTGGAAGACGTAGCAGCTTTTTCAGATGTGAAGACACCAATGCGAGACTCCAAGGAACATGAAATATCAGGGAAGCATGATACCACCAAAAGAACACAATACATTTACAGTGACTGACACAGGAGAAATAGAAATCTATGAGATCTCTGACAAAGAATTCAATAAGCAAATAACCCAAATAAAAAACAGGATAAGGACCTGAATACACTTCACAAAAGAAGACATATAATTGCCTAACAGATAAAGGAAAAGGTGTTCAACATCACTAATCAGAGAAATGCAAATAAAATCACAATGAAATATCACCTCATCCTTGTCAGGATGGCTATTATTATTATTTTTTAAATATTTTAAAACACAATTCCAAGTGCTGACAAGGATGTAGAGTAACTGGACCTTAATACATTAATGGTAGGAATGCAAAATGTTCACTTTGGAAAATAATTTGGCCATTTCTTATAAATTAAAACCTACATTTACCATACAACCTCCCCCTCCTAGGTACTGACCCAAGTAAAATAAAAACTTATATTCACACAAAATCCTGTTCACAAATGCTTATTGTTATCATTCATAATTACTAAAAACTGGAAATAACCCGAATGTGAATGGATAAACAAACTGTGGTACATCCACACAATGAAATCGTTAGTATTAAAAAAGAAATTACTTATACATGCAATAATATGGATGAATCTCAAACACACTGTGTTCAGTAAGAGAAGCCAGACTCAAAAGTTACATACTGTATGATTTCATTTATATGACTTTCTGGGAAAAGCAAAGCCAGAGGGACAGAAAGCAGATCAGTGGTTACCTGGGGGTGAGGGGTAGGAGGAAAGAGGACTACAAAGTGACATGGAATATTTTTGGAGTAATGAACTCTTAATTGTGGTAGCGGTTACATGAAGGTATACATCTGTCAAAACAAAGAACTCTATACTAAAAAGGGTGAGTTTTACTATATATAAATTATATCTTAATTTTTAAAATGTTTAAAGTACTGCCCTGGCCGGTTTGGCTCAGCAGTTAGAGCATCAGCCCATGGACTGGAGAGGCCCGGGTTCAGTTCCCACTAAGGGCAGATACCTTGGTTGCAGTTTGTCCCCTGGGGGGCCCCAGTTGGGGTCATGTGGGTGGCAACCACTCGATGTGTCTCTCTCACACTAATGTTTCTCTCTCTGCCTCTGCCACCCTCTCTCCCTCCTGCTCTATCCGAAGATACGTGCAAAAATGTCCTCTGGTGAGGATTAAAAAAAAGTTTAAAGTACTAAGTGACCACCATAAACCATAAGCTGAGTGTAGACACTTGGGATGCAAATAGTAACCTCAATGAGCTGACTTACATGGATGGGGATTACTCATAATCATTCATACATGTACCTGAACATTTCCTGTGTAATTTTCAAAATGTAGTGTTCAAAAGGGAAGGATCAAACACAGATCCAAGTAGATCCCATCTAGGATAGCACAAGTAGGAAGATATACTGTATTTCTAAGCACTTAATCTGAAAAGTTTTAATGAACAAATTCCATAACCATATAAAGTGAAACCTAATGTAGTTTAGGGAATAAAAAGGAGAGGCTTTACACCATATTCCTAGTAAAGTAAAAGTCATCCGTACTTTAATGAAACTGAGTAGCAGTTAGTGCATAGCAATGTACTAAAAGATTCATAAACAATTATCTTATTTAATCCTCTCAAAAGCTCTATGAGATTTGGGTAGTTTTAAAATTTGTCCACAAATTATTTGATACCCTTCCTTTAAGAGCTTAATCCCCCACCCTGCACCTCACCCCTTGAGTGTGGGCCAGATTTAATGACGTACTTCTAATGAACAGAATTAAACAAAAATGATGGTATGCAACTTTGGAGACGAAGTCATAAAACTACTGCATTCCTCATTTTCTCTCTTGGATCACTCTCTGAGGGAATTTAGCTGCCACGTGGTGAGGGTATTCAAACAGCCTATGGAAAGGCCCATGTGGCAAGAAACTGAAGCTTCCTGCCAAGATCCAGCAAAGAACTAAAGCAGCAATGTGAGTCAGCAGATTTTCCAGCCCAATTCAAGCCTTCAGATTGTAGCCATATGAGAGACCCTAAGCCGGAACTTCCAGCAAAGCTGCTCCTAGAGTCCTGACCTACAAAAACCGTGAGGTTTAATCAATGTTTGTTACTCTAAAGTCTAAACCATTAAGTTTTGGGGTAATCTGTGATGAAGCAACGTTTCATTTATCATGCCCATAAACTCGAGAGAAAACTGAAGTTCTAAGAGGTTCAGCAACTTGTTGAAGGTCACAAAGCTGATAACAGCTTTACAACTAGGTTCAAATCCAAGGCCCACACAGAGAATCAGCACATGGTGAACTATTCTTCTTTGACAGCAACCAAATCTACCTACACAAGAGTTTTGTTTGTTTTTTTTAATTTAACTTAGTCCTAATGAGTATTATCATATGGTAATTAAATTGAACTCAATAAACCTCAAATTCAGAAACTTACCCACTATAATAAAGTTTCCACACTTAGAGACACATGCTGAGGATTCAATTCGATCTCCCAAAATCTGTTCCCATTTTACCTTCCCAGAGTAAAGGTCAACTGCCATCATTCTGTGAGAATGGGAGCCAATGTACACAGTTGCAGATGACTTATCCACAGCTGGTATTACGACCAGAGGCGAAGCATCTACACATTTGCCTGTGTCTGACCTCCACCTCACACGTAATTCCATTGTTTCGGCCTCTATCACAGGTGTTCCATCTTCATAAACTTTTTCAACACAGGTCGAATCTTTTGACTTCCCAATAAGAACTGAAGGGTCTAAGCTTTTCACTTTTTGAGTATTAGTCTGTGAAATTAAATCAGAAGAACAGGTTGAAGGGCAATGTTCTAACTTAGTTAAAAACTTAGAAGGATTCAGAGACAAAATATGACTCCCTCTGCTCAGTGCAATAAAAGCATTTATCTCGTTGTCTAAATTTAAAGGCATGTCTGATTTCTGATGTAAAGATTTTCCACTGGTTTCTTCTTGATTAATGTCACTGAATTTTCTTTTTGTAGCATAATTCTTGCTAAATGTCAGATCCTCATCTGGAAACACTGTTTGAAGAATGTAATTGTAAATCTCTAAAACGGAACTGCTAAGAATAAGTTCCAGGAGCCCAGGTACTGATGTGCCAACAAGTTTTTCAATCTCACTGAAGAGCCGTATGGACTTCAAGGAATCTCCACCACTATTTAAGAAGAGTGACTCATCAGGGACCTTCAAAGAATCTTCTGAGAGACCCAGAATAGACTACAGATGAGAGAAGGGAGAAATATGGTGAATAAAGGCCTAAAACAAAAAAAAAAATTCAACATTTATAGGTAATATATGTAGAAATAACAGTACCTACAATAATGATATAAACAGACACACAAAATAAATATTTTTAATTAAAATAAGTTTTTAAATAATTTTCTTTATAGTAAAGGAAACTATCTCTATGCTACCAATTTTGTCACAAACTCACTCTAAAACTTCAAATTTTAGAGCAATTTTCCCAACCATAAAATAGGGAATAAAATTATAAAAACATCTGATTTACTAATTATACAGTTACTAATATCTGTTATTTCTATGAAAATATTTATTTGCATTTTCTTCATATAAACAAAAATTTTCTAAAATTTAAAAACAAAGTAAATTAAGACTTTATCTACATATCCTTTATTTTCAGACAAGACCATACATACAATTACACCCTCTTTTCAGAACCTTTTAGAACACTCCACATTTTATCTAAGAAAAATTATATTGACTTATGGTTGTAATAAAAAATACATATATATTTCAAAATAAATTTTAAAAATTGTCATATATATGAATACTAGTCTGTAAAATTAAATCAGAATTTTTATATATATGTCAATTCTCTTAAGCAGAAACACACATGTTATGGCTAAGAGTTCTTTTGGAATAATGATGTAATAAGCCCTTATACCACAGATTATGCTACAGCAAAATTTGACTATTTTCTCAACTCTGACAAGAGTGTTACAACACTCCACAGGCCCTCTTAGGGAAAAGTTATGTCAAGATAGGTTTTGTCTCCTTATGCCTTTTACAGCTACCACACTTCCAGTAAATTTCTTTATAGGGAGATTAATCTAATCTTACAGCAGAGAATCTAACCCTTATTTTAATACAAATTGAATAAACAAAAGTATACTTCTTAATACCTGGGCAGCAATAACATTCTTAGAAATTTTCATCAGATTTATTAGGATGCTATCATTCCCTAAAGATATTGACCTCTTTACAATAACAAATTTGTCTCTTAAAAGGTGTACCTTCCATAAATGCTGTAATTTTTCCCAAAGTTCCTCTTTTCCATTGAGCTTATGCTCAAACTTCAACTTTGTGTAGTTTAAATAAATCTTGTTTAACTCAGAAACATCAATTTTGCCTTATAAAAGAGAAACAATTTTTAAATTTCTGCTCAAATCTTTTCTATCTTTGTTAGTCACAAGAATACACATATTCTTCAGTGTAAAGGTTAGAAATCCTATAGAATAGTTTGTCACAGATAATCAGTTCTAAAGAAAGCAGTCCCATGCTACTAAAAACATAATGGGCAATAAATACACAGATAAGAAAAAAATGATTAACTAATGTTTCTCATTTAAAGACTTAAAAAATGGCACTATTAGCTGAGCAATTACTGCATTTTCAAGTAAATATTAAATAAAGATGAAATTGGAAAGGCAATATAACATGGTAATTAAGAGTAAAAGTTTTGAAGTCAAACTATCCTAGCCAGAATTTCAACTCTACCAGTAACCAGCAATGTAATTTTGTGAAAATTACTTAATCTCTTTAAGCTTTACTTTCCACATCTGCAAATGGGAATAATAATACCTCCTCACAAGATTCTCTAGAGATGAAATGAGTTAATTATATAAAGCATTTAACAGAGGGTCTACCACAATATATTCCATATAATTTATAATAAGGATTTACGTGGTCTTTAATCTATTTATGAATACAATAGTATCTTTGGCACTAAAACATATCTGCTTTAATTTATTTTACCATGAGATGTGAATGGTAGGGAATCAATCAGCACAAGCTCATCTGGGATTGCATGACTTGGAAGATGTTTCTCCAGTTCTTTAAAGATGTAATCCTTTACTAATTCAGTTTTGGACACCACAAACAGAATTAATTTTTCCTGATTATACCATATAACTGCACATGACTCCACTTGCTGAAGTCCTTCAGCAACCTATGAGAGAGATTATCCCAATTTGCCAATGAGGACATTTAAAACCAAACTTCACAAATGCTCAAACTTATGTCTGAAATCAACATGGTCAAGTTAAATTGTAAAATACACTAGAGATTTTTTTAAATTGTGCTATTACTATTATCAGCACACAGGGTTCCTAAAGTTTTTTCCAAAATAATAGCTTTTATAGCAAAATAAACCTATTAACAGTTTCACAAAATCCATTTTGTCACTTCATGCTGGGAATAAAGGGCACAATGACTTATCCATACCTTATATTGTAATTCATCACCAATACAAAAATCTTAGGCTTAAATGCTACCGATAGAGAATCCTGGTACAGAAAATTGTGGTGGCTCTCTCTAATACCTATATATATTAACAGAGATGTATATTTAAACAGTTCTACCTGTTGCACAAGTTCAGTGTTAAGACGTTTGCCATGACGTTTGATCTGACTGTCCTTTCGTCCCAAGAAAAATAACGCTCCATCTTTCACAGTCACAAAGTCTCCCGTGGCTCGCATTGTGCCAAGTGGTACTGTCATTTCGCCATCAAGAAAACATACTCTGTTTCTGCCACCTTGATATGATGTAAGTACCAATGTAATTTTTAAAAAATCCAAAGAAAATATATTAAAAACCATCAAATCAATAACATCTCCAAAAGTTCAGCCAGTTTCAAATTTTTAATGTTTATAAGAAAGGGGTGGCTCACTTTTACATACTTTAAAATTAGATATAATAACCTCAAGTAAAATAAGAAAAGGATAAAAAAACTTCCTTCTAAAAACATAACTGTGATTTAAAAAATCTTTACAATACTGATTAAATAGAATTTTAGCTATAAATATAATGGTCCAAGTAACAGTTTCTAAATTACTTTTATATCTTCCCTTAGAGTATCATACATTGTTATCTGAAATAATTATGGTAACTTATTAAATGTTTCATCACTATGAAGATGAGATTAAAAATTATCATTAATGAAAAGAATACTAATCATAAGAAAAACCGGGGGGGGAATAAAATTAACACAAATTTTTTTCTTGATAAAGAAAATTATTCCCAATCAATAAATATAAAACCACCTAAAAATACTTGGCCATTGCCTTCTTGAATTCTGAAACCATTAGTATCTCTGACTTCAACTATCGTTCCAAGCAGTGGAAATCCCAGTTGTACAGGCAAATCACATCTATGAAAACACAACCCAAATCAGATTTAAGATTTTCAATTTGAAGTAAATATTTCTAATGTATTTAAATCACATCAAATAAACAAAAAAATTTTGTTATACTATAATTCAAAGACTGCCAAGAGGAAAAGGTTAAGATCTGTTGTTTTGTCACAAAATGTTCTAGCAGGATCTGGAACATGAGTTATAATAAGAAAGGTTCTGGATTCGCAGCTTAAAATTCTAGATAAAAATAGTGTTCTAAAATTATTACTCCAGTGCCTATCAAAAACACCATTAGTGTTAAAATACTGAAAAAATAGTTTCTATCTACCCTATTTAGTAATTAAAACTCTTACTTCAAAGTAGAGTTAAGAATCTCCTCTGGAATCCTGTAAAAAGTCGCCCAACTTGATACCTCTGTGATACCATAAACATTAAATATTTGTGTTCTATTGCCTACTTCTCTCCAGCCTTTGAGAACAGTCAGTGATGGAAATGCTTCACCACCAAGGGCTAATACTCGAAGAGAAGTACTGGCTGATAAAACAGCTGACTTGATTATCTGAGATCCAAATCTTCTAAGCAATGTCGGTGTTGCCTGTGGATACATTAAAATTATTTATTTATTCCCTTCACTTCTTTAAAAAGGTATACACTGCAATGACTGGTTCAAAGCTTACACTGGAAGCCCACATGGAAATTAGGCCTATGCTTATTAAGTGGCAAATCATATTAAAAAAACTCCTGAGGCAGCATTACCTTCTTAAAGTGGTTATCAATTTGCTTTAGGAAAAAACTTCAGAAAATACTAGTTATATTTCATTATATAGTTTAGACAAAAAGGTTTACAGATAAAATGACAAAGTCTATAAAGTCAATTTACATTCCCTTTCCCATTATCTCTATGTAAAAACTATTACAAAAAGGGTTTAAAATATGTCTAAGGAAAACAATATGATTAAAGATTTTTAAAAACCGTTTTATTGTGGTATAACTGACATATGATAAACTATACATATTTAAAATATATAAATTTTGAGATATAGATATATAGATATATCTGTGAAACCATCACAATCGAAATAATAAACACATCCATCACCCCTAAAATTACCTATGTACCACTGTAAATCTTCCCTCCACCTGGACCCCTTCTCCAGACAACAGCTGATCTATTTTCTGTCACTCATGATCAGATGGAATTCTCTAAAATTTTATAAAAATGTAATCATACGCCCAGCCAGTGGGGCTCAGTGGCTGAGCATCGACCCATGCACCAAGAGGTCGCCGGTTCAATTCCCAGTGAGGGCACATGCCCAGGTTGTGAGCCAAATCCCCAGTTGGGGGAATGCTGGAGGCAACCAATCAATGTTCTCTCTCATTGATGTTTCTATCTCTCTCTCCCTCTCTGTTCCTCTCTCTCTAGAAATCAATAAAGAAAAAAAAATTCTTTTAAGCAATCATACAACATGTATCCTGTTTTGACCTGGCTTCTTTCACTCAACATAAATACTTTATAATTATTCTATGTTGTATGTATCAGCAGTTCATTCTTTTTTTGTCTTTCCTAGTCTGTTCAGGCTGCTGTAATGAAATACCACATGCAGATATATATATAAATGAATTCAGTATAGCAATAAAACTTGCTGGGCATCAATGGATATAAATTCTCATCTGTTGGTGAGTCATTCTGTGAAAATACATATATATATAGAGAGAGAGAGAGAAGAGAGAGAGAGAGAGAGAGAGAGAGAGAGAGATACAGATATCCATATATCCATATATATCCATATATATATATATGTTTTGGGTTTTGGTTTTTTAGGATGAAAAGCACATTGCCAAAAAAAACAAACTCAGTATCAAATTTTGTCTTTGGTAAGAAATTTAATATCCTCTCAAGTCTCATTATATTAAATATAAACCTGGTATTTTTTAGTTTATAATGATACACATATAATTTCGTTACTTCTCTCTAATATTGCAATTAATATCTTTAGGCTTATGTACCAGTAACATACTTTCAGGTATATACTTTTTAAATCTTTAAAAATGCCAAACTTAAAATATGTTTCTATAGATTAAATATACTGATATAAAAATCAGAAAATCTAAATTCCTAACTCAATTATAATTTAACTTAAACTAGTCTTTAGTGGGAAATGCAATAAACTTAAAGACAGAAAGGACAGTATATCCCAACAGAATTGAGTGAAATGCAAGTTCTCTAGTTGTTATAGTATGTACAAAATGTACAATTAAATAATTTTATAGCCCTGGCTGGTTCTTCCTCAGCACTTAGTGTCGGCCAGCGAGGGCATGTACCTCAGTTGCAGTTTGCCCCCGATGTCGGATGGGATCGTGTGGGTGGCAGTCACTCGTTTGTCTCTCTCGCGTCGATGTTTCTCTCTCTCTCTTCCTCTCCCTCCCTCGTGCTCTATCTGAAGATAAATGCAAAAAAATAAAATAAAATAATTTTCTAGGCAGAATTAACTGATTTTTTAAAATATTCTCAAACAAAAAAGTGAGATCATCAAGAGACAGGCTTTGATAATCTAACTAGATTATCATTAATCCACTGTAAAGAACTTCAGAAATGCAAAATATTCTCTAAAACACTTAGAGAGTATTTGAAGGATTAAACATTTCATTTGCTCCTAAAATGTACCTGCAAAATAGTCACTCTGTGGTGGGAAAAGAGAACTGCAGCTAATTTCGATGGGAGCACCTTGATGGAAGTTGGTACAATAAGCAGAGAGGCACCACTTGATAGAGCAACAAATATTTCCACAACTGAAGGATCAAAGGTCAGAGGTGAAGCCAGAAATAAAACATCTTCTTGTGTGATCTCAAAAAGTACCCTAAGGCAAGGCAAAACAAAATATAGTTATGAAAAATGTCTAACATTTATCTGGTAAACACATATTTTATATTCTAACAAAGTATTTATGACCATTAAGTTTTTGGGTGCAGGCCAGATTTTTATTCTTCTTTTAGATTAACCAAAGTGTGCTACTAATTCTAGAACTCTTCTTTATTAATATAAAGATTAAAAGCCATTTAAAGCAATATACACTTTTTACCATGTGGTTTATCATCTGTGATAGCTTTCTTGATATGTCAACTTGGCTAGATTGAACTACAGTCCACAGAATTCTCTTTCTAGTATGTTTCCCATTAGGGTAGAAGACAAAGGATATTCTCTCTTGACAGCTAGAAGACAGAAGGGAGGCAACTGCATTTGGTAGCACACACACTTTTGCCCAGTTATTCAATCAAACACTATTCTAGGTGCTGCTGTGAAGGGTTTTTTGTAGATATGATTCAAGTACCTAATCAGCTGACTTTAACCAAAAGAGAGCTTAACCTGGGTTGGCTGGATTTAGTCAGTTGGAAGGCCTTTGAGAGAATGTTTAGGTCTTTTCTGAGGAAGAGACCTCAAAACATCAGCTGAGTCTGCAATTACTCTCCCTACCCCCGGATCTTCTTTCCTGACTGCTTGTGGACAAGCACATGCCTGTAAGGTTCCAGCCTGCTCAAGATCACCCCTTTCTGACTGTCTACCCTACGTACTTCAGTGCTGCTTAGCCAGCCCCACACTGTAAACCAATTCCTTATAATAAATCTCTAATATATCCTTCTGGTTCTTTTCTGGTAGGAATCTGGACTTATTCTATCCTACTTGTTCAATGATGCTTCACAGAGACCTCTGACTCCCTTTTCCTACTATTTCGCATTTTCTCTCAGTCGCTGAACAAAGAGCAGTACAGATTATGTTTAATGAGGACATCACAGATCATGGATAGTCAGTGTTGAGCCTATGGTACTACTTCAATTCGAACACACAAAACCACTCTATCTAACAGCAAGGATTATCTTACCTTCAAAATATCCTCAAGTATGGTATTGTATGGACCCACTCAGAACCCCAGAGTTGGCATGAAGATTATTTTAAGCTGAAGACATTTTGGATTCAACAGATGTAAAAAAAAAAGCCTTCTTGGAATATCCCTTATCTGACTAATAGCAGCAACTTCTGGGAAATGAGGCTGCCATAAATTTCTTCCTCAGTGTGGCCTTTACTCCCAGCAAGGACAAAAGAGTAAACCTCCATATTCCCTCTACAGGGGAGTTTTATGGCTCCGAAGCAGGAAAGACTATTCTCACCAGCATAAACCAACATTATCACAAAGTTCCTTATCTCTGCCTTTCCTAAAGAAACTTATTTGTTCTTCCCACACAAGCCTTTTCTTCCCCAAACCTCCCTTTTCCCTACCAAGTTAGGTATACAAGCCTTCCAATTTTAACCTTTTTATGACCAAGGAGTTCAGAACATGCCACCCAAAAATATGCTGCTCTGGCATATCAAGTATTTTGAATTAAAGGCCCTTGAAAACCACTCTGATGGTCCTTTTTTCTTTTCCATAAAGAGAGGAGCTGAAATTCCCATATGAAAGACACCCTACCTATCCCAGGAGGAAAGTAGCATTCTTTTTTTAAATCCTCACCCAAGGGTATTTTTCTTTTTTTTTTTATCCTCACCCGAGGATATTTTTCCATTTTTTGTACAGATAGACTGGGAGGGAGAGAGAGGAAGAGAGAGGGAGAGAGAAACATCGACGTGAAGGGACACATCGAGTGGCTGCCACCAGCATGACCAACCAGGGCCGGGGACAAACTGCAACCGAAGCACGCGCCCTTAGCGGGAACCGAACCCGGGTCTCTCCGGACCGCAGGCCAACGCTCTAACCGCTGAGCCAAACTGGCCAGGGCCCAAGGGTATTTTTCCATGTTTTAATCTTCAGATAGAGTGGGAGGGGAGAGAGAGAAACATCAATGTGAGAGAGACACAGGACCCCGGCCAGGGCCAGGGACCGAACTGCAACTGAGGTGACCGAACTGCAACTGAGGTACATGTCCTTGACCAGAATCAAACCCGCGACTCTTTGGTCCACAGGCTATGTTCTAACTGCTGAGCCAAACCGGCCAGGGCAGCATTCTCTTTTTTTAATTGATTTGTTTAGAGAGAGAGGAAGGGAGAGGAAGGGAATGAGAGAGAGAAACATCGATGAGAGAGAACATCGAATGGGCACCTCCTGCATGCCCCCCACTGGGAATTTGGCCCAAAGCCTGGGCATGTGCCCTGACTGGAAATTGAACTGGTGACCTCTTGGTGCATGGGTCAATGTTCAACTACTGAGCCACACTGACCAGGTGAAAGTAGCATTCTTACTTTTAAGGACTAGAAGTTGAGACTCAGGGAATTCTATACAAACAGACCTTGTTAAAATAATTCTTATCTTCCCTTAGCCTCCCCACATAATTTAGTCGCTTTTCCACAAATGACTCTGTTCAACCCAATATAAAAGCAAGCAGGTTTTGCCATCGCTTTGGGTCTTCATTCCTTATGAAGTGTCCTGTGTTACATAAACTTGTGTAGTGGACCCTTGAATAACATGGGTTACAAGTTCTGAAGGCGTCTAAGGACAGAACTTACCGAAAATGCTGGATGTTCGGTATTATACATGCGTGAGGGACTCTGACAATCTTGGGTAGCCCCGTGGTGCCTGACGTATGGAGAACATAGGCTAAACAATGTTTTAGCCTCACATCCATGTGTTCTTCCAACTTTTCTTCACTGCTATTCTCAGAACTCGTGCTCTTTGCCATTTCTTCTTTTTCATATTTCTCTTTTCTGTCATTTTGCATCAAGCTCACCTCAGCATTTTTCCAGTGAAGTCTGACAAGTACTAGGTCTTTATGTTCTACTGTAAGAGTATCATAGTTCAATAATGTTTCATAGGAAGATTTGAATTTCTGTTAAATGGAGAACAAAATTTTCAATATGTTAAAAGACATCGTTTTTTACATACAAGTAATACAAAGTGTTCATTTATTCATTCATTATAGCTTAAAAAATTTTGAGAAAGTGCTACATATCCAGGGATAAAAAATAAATTAGAACCCTCCAAGAGTAAAGTGCTATCCTTACTTTCAAAGCCACCTTCAAAATAAATAGACAGACAGGAACACAAAACTGCAGTACAATGTGGTAAGTGTGACAACGAAATATGCTTGAAATGTTCATGGGAACAGAGGAGGCTGAACTTAATTGCCAAGAAGGTCAGAGATTGCGTCTTCATATGTAGTATTTGTGTATAAGTAACTGTTCTCCAAATAAAGAAAAGGGGTACTTCAGGAAAACAGCCAATACAGAGTATAAGACTCAAGAAAACTGTGGAGAACATTAAGCATTTCAACATGCTGCAGAATTGGAGAAGGGGAAGAATGTGAATAGTGCTGGTAATAGGAGATGAGATGCTAATCCTTAATAATTTTGCATACTCAACACCAAGGAGTTTAAACCTTAACCGTAAGTGATGGGATCCAATTGAACGTGCAACAGCACAGACTAGACTTCACTCTGTCAAAAACTCTGATAAGCAAGAGCCATTTAACGAAACTTTTACAATTCAGATATACTACATGGGCCTGAACTCATGTGTTGCAATCAGAGTAGACAGAAAGGGTCTATAAACAAAGAATTAACACGGTTTGGTAACTTTCTGTATACAGAGTGAGCCCAAGGAGACTGAGTTTCTGGGTCAGGTATTTGGTAGATCAAGACAGATGAATACAGAACTAAGTTCAGATGAGAAGATGCTGCATTCAGTTTTGCGCATGCCAAAAGTGAGGTTCCCTTGAATATATCTTTTCATTTTGATAAAAAGCAGCTTAATGACACATAACTTACATTTTCACATTAAAGAAATCAATATAAATAATAGAAAAAGGTAAAAACTCAGAAACCTGTAGTGTATTTTGTCTGTTTGGCATGTATATATTAGATGTAGGGTGGGATGTGGCCTGTGATATTCAAACAATTAAGGGCCTACATATTCTAAAGACTTAGCTCAAAACCATCTTCTACCATTAAAATTTTCCTATCTCTACTATGTTACATTTACTTCACGGAGGACAATATCACACTATGCAGACTTATAGGTTTGGGAGCATTAACCTTTTCTTTCCAACTAAATTATAAGCAGATGGAGGGCAAGAATCATGTCTTGGCCCAGCCGGTGTGGCTCAGTGGTTGAATGTCGACCCATGCACCAAGAGGTCACTGGTTCGATTCCCGGTCAGGGCCCATGCCCAGGTTGTGGGCCCAATCCCTGGTGGGGGGCATGCAGGAAGCAGCCAATTGATGTTCTCTCATCAATGTTTCTATCTCTCTCTCCCTCTCCCTTCCTCTCCATCTAAAATCAGTAAGAAAAAAATTATTTTTCATTGATTTGTTGGAACTTTAAAAAAAAAGGAATCATGTCTTGGGCTTCTGTCACATACCAATGCTCTCCCAGACAACCTGACTCTAGTGCAGGGTTTCTCGATCTCAACACTGACAATTTAGGCCACAAAAATCTTTGAGGAAAGCTGTCTTGTTCCTTTTAGGATTTTTAACAGCATTCCTGGCCCTGCCCACTAGATACCAGTAGCACCCCAAGGCCTTCATGACAATAAAAAACACGAGACATTGCCAAATGTCTCCTGGGGGACAAAATCATCCCCAGTACTCTGGTGGGTGCTGGGCACACAGTAGATGCTCAGTAACTAGTTCCCCATTGCTCCTGTGCTAAGTGAAGGAAGAACACTTATACCATCATCTAAGTCATGGACTAGGAAGTAAGGTACTTTCTATGGGGTTTTGCTCTGTGCTCAACCCCTTCCTGTAAAGCAGTTATTTTGCACACCCAATCACCTCTTTTATAAAACTTTCACCAAGGTCGTTAAGAAAAATGAATGTCATGCCCCCATTTTAGTTTTGCTTACATCAACAACAAAGGAATAATCAGTTTGAGGAGCAGAAGACAAAACTTTGGCCAGACACTAACATATGTTTATTATTATTATTTTTTATCCTCATCTGAGGACATTCTTGCATTCATCTTCAGATACAGCAGGAGGGAGATAGAGAGGAAGAGAAAGAAACATCAATGTGAGAGAGACACATCAAGTGGTTGCCACCCACACGACCCCAACCAGGGCTGGGGACAAACTGCAACAGAGGTATGTGCCCTTGGCGGGAACCAAACCCGGACTCTCTGGTCTGCAGGCCAACGCTCTAACTGCTGAGCCAAATTGGCCAGGGTTAACATATGTTTATTTAGAAAATATTTATTAAACAAATGAATACTTTCTTTATTTGTTGCTTTTTGGAGGCTTTACTCAAATACCCAAGATTCTCTAGGAAGTCCTCAACTATCTCAAGCTCTTGATACTTCTAATTGTTATATTGCAGGTTCAATCCCCAGCCATGGTTGGGGTCATGACAGAGGCAACCAATTCTCTTTCTCTTTCTCTCTCTCTCCCTCTCTCCCTCCCTCCCGCCTTTCCACTCTATCTAAAACTCAATGGAAAAATATCCTTGGGTGAGGATTAAAAAGAAATAATAATGAAATCTGGGTTGCATCTTGCTGAACATATAATACCAATACTTGCCCCTAAAGCAGTGTTTCTTTTTTATTTACTTATTGTTGACAGTATTACAGATGTTCCCCATTTCCCGCCCCTTTATCCCCCTCCACTCAGCCCCCAGGCCTAAAGCAGTGTTTCTTGGCTAGACCTTTGGTTGGCAGGCAAACATTTTAAAAATATAATACATTTTCCAGAAAGGTCTGGCCTAAGTACCAATCTCTTTTTCAAAATCTAAGCTTGCTTACAATTCTTTAATGCTGCTGACTACTGTAAATTGCCATAAATATATAAAAATAAAAGTTTTAAGTATTACAAAATTTTCCTAGTAGGAACAACTTTGGAAAGAGAAAGTAAATTCAAAACAATATATAATACGTGACTATAAAGCTATATATGTTCATGCCACAGAGCAGTGTTTCTGAACAGAGTGTGAGGGAGTAGAGGGTACTTCCAGCAGACATTTGGCAATGTCTGGAGACAATGGTTCTCAGAACTGGGTGGTTCTACTGGCATATGGTGGCTGGAGTCCAGGGATGTTGCCAAACATCCTATAATGTATAGGATACTCCTCACAAAAAAAATTACCCAACCCAAAATGTCAATAATGTGGAGACTGAGTAACCCTGCAGAGTTAGTACATTTAGAAATCAATAGGGGATAAAGGGGAGACCTTCAATTGAAAGATAAATGTAATACATAAAAAACATTTAAATATATACACTTACATTAATTTGCTGTTTTTCAACAAGAATATACTTTACATTACATTTTTCCATAAAATGAATTGATAATGCTGGTGGTGAATCTGGATCAACAGGAGCATAAGCAGCAGGGACTTGCAGAATTCTAAAGAAACAAAGTATACAGTCAGAATACAATATATGTTGAAAACAATCTTTAAGCATTTCTTTTTCTCTATGTACTTTACTAATGACTTCATCAGAAATCCCCAATGTTTTTGTTGACATGTTTTTGTTTATAAGCTGTTATTTTTATCTGACTCTTAAGAATGAATATCCTGAGTGTTTACTGTATTAGATTCTCATTACCTGACACAAAGAAATCTAAGATTTTTTTTAAAGCTGATGTATTACAGTAAAATATACTTGGTTTACTGGCTACTACTAAGATACCAAACAGGTGGCAGACTCTTATTTCTTCATCTCTGTAGGGTAACATAAAATAAACTTAAATATCCACATGCAACTTATTAGTATGCAGAGTCTATTAATCTGCATACTAAAAAGGGATATAACTTGCCCCTAAAACCAGTATAACTAAAAAGGTGGAAAAAAACCTTTAAAACAAATTTGTAAGCGGCAATACTTGCATAAAATCAAATCAAAGATAAGTTAGTTGTTTTAACTAAAAGTACTTTGAGATACACTTTGGGGACACTAGATCTTTGCACAAAGTAAATTCTCAATAAACTATGTCAATGATTGAATAAAAAATTTTAAAACTATTTTTGTTTTACATTTATATAATTAATCTACTAACACACTTACTATGGGATGCATATCAACTTCTCTAATTCTTTATAGTTTTTATTTACTATAGAACCCTAATATAGAAATCACTATATGAGAATAATATTCTAGAACAACCGAAATAATTGAACATTTTACAAATATTTGTTTGAATTAGTATTTTCTCGATTCATATCTCAATTTTTATGGATCATTACCCAAAATCCTCAAATATTCACTCACTTACTGAATACATGAATACCTGAAACTTCAGTCTTAGAGGAAAAAATATAGTCACATTATTTCTGAAATAGTTGTTTTTTTAATCTAACAACAGAATTTATGACTGTTCCTTTGGCAGACAAATGAAGTCCTTTTATTTTGGAGATATTTAAATCTTCTATTAGTGAAAACTTCAAGTTGCTCCTAAATAAGCTCATGTGAATTAATTAAAAATAATCCTAAGGGAGTCCTGACTGGTTTGCCTCAGTAGTTAGAGCACGGGCCCGCGGAATGAGGGGTCCTGGATTCAATTCCCAGTCAAGGGCACATATTTGGGTTGCGGGTTCAATCCCTGGCCCTGGTTAGAGTCTTGCTGGAGGCAGCTAATCAATGTGTCTTTCTCACATCGATGTTTCTCTCTCTCTTTCTCTCTCTCTCTCTCTCTCTCTCTCCCTTCCATTCTATCTAGAAATCAATGGAAAAATATCTTCAGGCAAGGACTAACAATAAATAAATAAGTAAAGAAAACAATCCTAGGGGAAATATAAACTCCTTTAGCCTCTCTAGACTTGACCAAGCACAACAGAAAAATTCAATAGTAAACAGAACAATATAGTCTATGTATTAAAGAATTATAAATTAGGTTAGCATAACATCAACTTTTTAGTTCTAAAACATATTACCCTAAAATCCAAGTGGGTAAGTTTATCCCAGGATAGCAGTAGAGACCAATTTCCCGAATTCCTTGAAAGTCACAATGTAACAGCAGAAAATCTGATAATTCTGAAGCAGCATTAACCAGAGTCTTGTAGGTGTAATAAACTGGAGGCTGGTCATTACATTCATCAAAACATACAGCTATTTTATTAGAATAAATGGAGGCAGCCTGATGCACCAATTCCTGAAGAGTCATTTCAATGAAGTTTATCTAAACATCATTGGTAGCAGATATGTAATGGAGATGGAGTTTTAAGAAGCCTGGAAGAGGGAGGAGAGAGAAAAACTTCAATACAGTCACTCCACAAAAATAACTATATCAAAGACATACAATTAATGAAGCTCTAAACTTATGAATTGTTTAGAATAACTTCACTGAAAACAATGTTAAAATTAATCTGATACAATCATTCTTAATGCTGTGTCAGAGCTGAAAGAAAAATTGGAAGGGGAGTGGTATACACAGATGAAGATAAAACAGGTAGAAATGTAGAATTCTTTCTCAACTGACCACAGAATAAATGTGTGTGTGTGTGTAAAATTAACCAATAAAACCAAATTTAAAGCACCACATGCTTAATTTTTTCTTCAATATTGTTACAAATTAAGATAAAGTAGTTAAAACCTGTATAGTGACTTTGTTTTTTTTATTTTTTATCCTCACCCGAGGATATTTTTCCATTTTTTGTACAGATAGAGTGGGAGGGAGAGAGAGGAAGGGAGAGAGAGAGAGAAACATCGATGTGAAGGGACACATCGAGTGGCTGCCACCCGCACGACCAACCAGGGCCGGGGACAAACTGCAACCGAAGTACGTGCCCTTAGCGGGAACCGAACCCGGGTCTCTCAGGACCACAGGCCGACGCTCTAACCGCTGAGCCAAACTGGCCAGGGCTGTATAGTGACTTTGAAAAGACCAATGCAATAAAGTTGTGTTTAGGAACTGAACTTACGAGAAAATAAAATCAACCTTTGATAGGAAAAAAATTCTACCCACAATCCATCAAGTTTAAGTCCATCATATATAAATTATGCTAATTGCTATTTAGTATAATGCTTTACACAGGTCACATCAAAGCATTTTTCAATTGTTATAAAGCAAACTCTTCAGCCCTGGCCAGTTTGGCTCAGCGGTTAGAGTGTCAGCCTGCGGTCCGGAGAGACCCGGGTTCGGTTCCCGCTAAGGGCACGTACCTCGGTTGCAGTTTGTCCCCGGCCCTGGTTGGTCGTGTGGGTGGCAGCCACTCGATGTGTCCCTTCACGTCGATGTTTCTCTCTCTCCCTTCCTCTCCCTCCCTCCCACTCTATCTGTACAAAAAAATGGAAAAAATATCCTCGGGTGAGGATTAAAAAAAAAAGCAAACTCTTCATACTCTATTTGATATTTACTTGCCAATAATTTCATTTAAATTTAGACAAAATGTAATATTACAAGTCAGTAACACATCATTACCATGTTCTCAGGGCTTCTCAATGCAGATTAAAGAAAAAGACTTGAAACTATTTCATCAAAGAAAAGTTAGGAATCACCATTTTTTAAAAAACCCTCAAAACTGCTAATATTTTCTTGAAGGTAAAGGTGATTTTTTTTTTTAAATCTTACGCTTCAGATTTCAAAGCAAATAAGATTTAATCATTCACATTTTTAAAATTTGTCCATACTTATTTGAACCGATTTCCCTACTGAGTCAAAATACATTTTCATCCATGACATTAATATTAATCAGGGAACATTGATAAGACATTTCTACAGAGAGCAAAATAAACCTGTAACTGCTAAGACCCAAAAGGTGAAGAAATGCTATGATTTTTAAATATAAAGTTAAAAAACATAGGATAACTTTAGTACTTACATTATTTCTTTTAAATAAGCATTTCTACAAAATCTAGCTATTTTGTGATACACAAGATAAAAAATTTAAGCTTTCCTCATACATATAAATGATCACTGTGTAAGACTTTCCATAGCATACATAAAAATGATGGGGAATGACCTCTTCACAAGAAACAGTAAGGATACCTTCTGCAAGGATACCTTATAAGGATACCTATAAATAAACTGCTTCCATTATAGAACGTATACTAAAGCATTTCTACAAAAATTTGAAGTCTATGTACAAAAAAAATTGCATTTTTAAAATGTAAAAACATACAGCAGTTATTTTTCCACTGAGGACAATCTACTCAATATATTATACTCCAAAATTACTTGACATCAAAGTAAGGGGTAAGATTAGAAAATGAACTAAACTCTTTTTTTTTAATGCCATTTTAATGACAAATTACAACACTCATCACACATAGCTATATAATTAGGATTTTTTCTACTTTTGAGTTTCCCAGTGGTTGCTACAGAAAATTAGGGCAAAATCTATTCTTGTTTAAGGTTTTAATTTCCATTAATTAAATTAAATATATTCTCTCCAACAAAGAATACTATACTTATTGGATGCCCAAACATTTCTTGGATCTTCCAAGGAAAAAAAAAATCTCAACAGATTTTATAAGTAATGGGATCATTAAGTTTAAGATACTTATTACTTTACAACCGCAGAGCTGCTATTTAGTCATTACAGGAGTGTCAACAAATTCTCTTGCTTTGGGGACTCTTCCAAGATTACTGGCTATTTTAAAGACAGGTAAGTAGTCTAGAAACGTTAACACACACACACACACACCCCCATACCCCGCCATCCAATGGCTTCTTAACTTACATTAACAACCACGTTTAATAACAATGCACTTTATAGCTTCCAAAAGACTTTCTCATTTGTTCTTTGAAACCAGGCTAGCAGATAGGCGGGGCACGCTTATTTCCAATGAAAGGGCCAGAGGGTCCAAGGCCGGGTCAAATTAGTCTTTGCACAACAGCCCGTCAAACAACACTGACTCAAATCAGAGGCCAAGGTGCCTCGTTGGCGCAGTAGGTAGCGCGTCAGTCTCAAATCAGAGGCCAGACGGTCACCCTGAAGCTGAGCCGACCTGTGCACAGCCAGTCCCATGTGTCATGGTACCTTGACTCCTTCACACAAGCCCCTGCCGCACAACACCTCCCGCCTCCACCCACTCCAAAGGCCTTGCGAGGCGAGCGGGAGGTCGAGCTTGTCCAAACCTCCTCCTGGCAGCCCACCCAAGACACCTAGCCACGTGCGGCGGAAATGCAGTCGCCCACAAAGCCTTAAAGACAGACGACTGCGCCCTGTGCGGGGACGTAGGAGGCTCCAGCTCTCTGGGAAACGTTCGGAGTCGCTGCGTTGACGTCAGCACGAGCGACCAGCTACCGGTACCGGAGGTACCGCCCCACCCCGCCCCGCCCCTTCCGGAAGCTTCAGAGCCAACCAGGTGGAAGAGCCGGCAGTGTCCTCGCTGAGGGTCTCAGCTCAGAAGCCGTTGTGGTGGTCGTGCTGGGCTTTGGAGCTGACGGGCTTAGAGCCCTGGGAACTCCTGCATATTTGCCAAGAATTTCTGGGCAAGATACCGGAATTCTGATTTGCGGTCTCCATGTTCACAAAGTGGAAATAAAGATATCTCCCTGCCGGGCAGGTGTGGCTCAATGGTTGAGCAGCGACCCCTGCACCAAGAGGTCACCAGTTCAATTCCCGGTCAGGGCACATGTCCGGGTTGTGGGCCAAATGGGGGGGGGGGTCACATCTACAACACAAGGCCATTATAGAGCAAAACAGCTTTATTGATGCACCCGGGTGCAGGTGGGCTGAGCCGAAAAGGGTTCAGTATTGAATAATTGTCGGGGGTGTAGGTTATATACTCTACTTTTAGCTTCCGGTAGTTCCTGCTGACTACTCTGCCTGGCCCCTTGTCCACTTTGCAGTTGGACTGGTCTGGTATCTCTTCCTGCATCTGATAGGTGATTCATTGTCTTGCGGATAATCCAGATAATCCTTATCCTTACTCAACAGAAAGCTGAGCAAAGGTCATGCAAGTAACACATTTTTCACAGTTTCCGCCTTTTGCAAGTTTTTACCTTTACTCTTTAAAACATTACTGGCCCTTTCAGGGGGCATGCAGGAGGCGGCCAATCTATGTTCTCCCTCTCTCTCCCTCTACCTCTCAATAAATTTAAAACAAATAAATTAAATTAATTAATTTTTTTTGTACGTGCCCCTAGCGGGAACCGAACCTGAAACTGGTCCGCAGACCTGATGCTCCAGCCTCTGAGCCAAACCAGCCAGGGCCAAAATAAATAAATAAATTTTTAAAAAGATATCTCCTAGGGTTGATGTGAAGTAAGATAAAGTCATTGTGAAGTGTGAGTGCACGGACACACCGAGTGAGAGAGACACATCGACTGGTCATCACCACATGACCCCAAAGAGGGGAGGGACCAACTGTAACCGAGGTACATGCCTCTAGCAGGAACTGAACCCAGGACTCTCTGGTACACAGGCTGATGCTGTAACCGCTAAGCCAAACTGGCCAGGGCTTATTTAATGTTTTCTGAAAACCTGCCCTAGACTGAAGCTATGAAACCTGCAAATGAAGTCCCTGTTTTGCTTAGGCTGATGTTTCAAAGAGAAGAGAGGGATAACCAAGAAAGTGTCTGCTTTCAATAGGAGCTATAAAGAAAATAAAAGTTTGAGCCCTGGCCAGTTTGGCCCAGCGGTTAGAGCATTGGCCTGCGGTCCAGAGAGACCCGAGTTCGGTTCCCGCTAAGGGCATGTACTTCGGTTGCAGTTTGTCCCCGGCCCTGGTTGGGTTGTGCGGGTGGCAGCCACTCAATGTGTCCCTTTCACGTCGATGTTTCTCTCTCTCTCTTCCTCTCTCTCCCTCCTGCTCTATCTGAATAAAAAGTGGAAAAATGTCCTTGGGTGAGGATTAAAAAAAAAAAAAAGAAAATAAAGGTTTGAGAGGGAGTCTCAAACTATACACCTAAATAATAACTTGTTTGCAAGTGAGTTATAGATTGAGACATATAAATTACTACAGTGTCAAAGGCAATAATGGTGATATTTTGAAGCCACTGTGAGGTGGCAGAGAGGAAATAATCATTTTTTGTGTGTGTATAGTTTGTTTTGGCTGAGGGGAGGGCTGACAAGGCAGTCCAGGTGGACAACTATACATGAACAACGTATAGGGTGTTCTGCTGTTCTAGGTATTGCTGGTAAAAACTGTAGCAGCTATCCAAGAGATATCTCCACCTGCCCATGAGACTTTCTTCAGAATGGACTAGAGGTCACTTAAATGATTGTGTCTTTGGCGGTGTGGGGGGTGGGGGACGCAGAGGAAGGGTTTCTACGTGTAACTTATCTTTGTTTCTATATTTGCAAATGGATACTGTGAACTCTAAGGATTAAGAAGGGCTCCTGGTGGCTAACTGGACTAAAAAAAAAAAAAAAAAAATGCAGAGCCTAGCAGCCATTTTTGTAAAGGGGGCTCTCACACAAACTGTACTGGGTGGAGAACCTCTGCCCTGGTCTGCCTGCCTGCACCTTGTTTCTGCCATCTGAGCCAGCCCTTATAAAGGAGTTCCTGGAGTCCTATTTCACAGCACTCTCTGCTTAAGCTTCAGCGGTCCCTCATTGCCTGCATGACATTCAGGCTCTTTAGCAAGGTACACAAGATGGTTCATTATCTTTCTAGCCTGATCCCTCAGTGGATCACAGCTCTCCAACCCCATCCTCCACACCAGCCAAACCAGCTCCAGCTCAAATGAGACTCTAGGAAGTCTTCTGAGCATACCAACACGCTATCAAGTTTCCACATCTGGCTGGGGCTCAGGCTGAAATTCTCTCTCTATGCCTGCTTGATAAACATTTACTCCTCGGAAAACAGAGCTTAAACATCACCTCAATGTCTTTCTTCAAGCATTACATGACAAGTTACCCATCCGCCCCCAACCTCCATCCCGTGAACCAAGCAAACTGTTGGAAATGACAGTCTGCCATGGGCTAGGAGTGTCCCTGCAAATTCTTGCTGGGTATGCCAAGAATGTAGGGTACTACCTGCTCTTTTCAAGTAATTTTTCAGGGTTGTTTGGGGTGATCAATCATCAGAGCTGAAGTACAGTAAAATCTTAATATAATGGACTAATTTGGGCAAGGGGGTGTCTGCTAAAGCTGAAAGTCTGTCATATAATAAAGTAGCTTTTCTGAATGCATATGTTAAAAATTTGACAAATTAGTTTACCTGTTTTTAACTTATGTAAACACGTTTGTGTAATCAAAATTAATATGTATGAAAAGTTTTATTTCACAGAAAAGTTTTCTATATGTATTACTGTAATTTTAAATTTACACTGAATAGGTCTAGTAAATTTGTGCATTCACCAGTCTCGGCAAGTGAACAAATGTACACAGCTGGGGCGTGGCTCAGTGCAGGTTGGAATATCAGTGGCAGGTGTTAAAACTGCCACAGAGCCTGGCCGGTGTGGCTCCATGGTTGAGCATTGACCCATGCACCAAGAGGTCGCCGGTTCGGCTCCTGGTCAGGGCACATGATTAGGTTGTGGGCCAAATACCAAGTGGGGGGCATGCAGGAGGCAGCCAATTGATGTTTTCTCTCATCGATGTTTCTGTCTTTCTCTCCCTCTCCCTCCCTCTCTCTCTAAAATCAATAAAGGAAAAAAAAAAAACTGCCACAGAAAGTCACACCACATGACAACAGAACCAATTACCGGGTGTGGTCTGATCATGTGCTAATCATTCACTGAAAATTGCTTTGAGTCGTCACTCTTGGATTTATGTATGTACACTATAGTTGTAGATATGTAATCTTTATTTATGTCGGAAAAATTACTACATTTTTTTCCAACATATGGCCTATTTGCTAAAATTTGTTCAAAATAACAGTGAATTAATAACAAAAAAATAACCTGTTAAATTAATGATAAGCAAATCTTGGTTAAAAGCATTTTATAATGAAGAGGGTGTTAATTTTCACATGACACATGGACAGGAAATTTTGTCTGCTAAATCCAAAGTCCATAAAATCGAGGGTTTACTGTAATGTCTCTCCCAAGGAGCAGGTTGCCTTCACTTACTATAAAAGGAGTGAGTTCCCCAAACTTAGTATTCTTTCCCTTGAATGCAACCCACTGCGTGTAAAGACATCCATCACCTCAGTTGGATTTGGGAGGCTTGGGGAACTGATGCAAACGTGAACTTCTGGCTGCTTCTTTTGCCTTGAGTAATAAAGTTCTGTGTCCTCAATCCAGGAATGTCATGACTACTGCAACAAAACAGTGTAGGCTAGCTTATTAGCTTTTAAGTAGGGTTCAAGCCTAGACCCTTCTCAAATGGTGACTTGTACTTCTTATAGAATCCGTAAGAGCTCCGTTATTTCCAAGTTTGATTTCTCATGCTAAATAGCAAGTACCTCGAAAGCAGGGATTTAGGTCTTATGCACCTGTTTCCCTAACTCTTTCTTTTACTCTTCTTCCAATTCCAAGTACATTTTTTCCAGTTCCTGGAAAGTACAAATGCCTACCCCAGAATCTTGCTGATCATTTGCACATTTATTGGTACATTCTAATTTTGCTGCTTATCTTCACCTATTTAATTTCCTACTCATCTATCAATGTTTCTTTCAAAAATTAAAATTTCAAAAATAATTTTGCAAATCCTTGCTCTTACCTTCAGAGTGTAGGTTTTGTCACCATACCACCAAATAATTTTCTAAGAAACAGACAGATGAAAGAGACGTATAGGGCAAGGTATGGGGGCAGGGGGCATGGAGTTTCCATGCTCTGTGCACCATTCTCCCTGAGTCTCCTTGTCACCAGCTGGGAAGCTCTCCAAGCCCTGTCCTGGGTGTTCATAGAGGTTTTATTACATAAGGAAACTTAATTAAATCACTGGCCATTAACTTCAGCCCCTCTCCCATTCATGGAGGTTAAGGCACTGAGACCAAAAGTTCCAACCCTCTAATCACATGGTTGGTTCCCCTGGCAACCAGTACCCCCGTCCTTACATGTTTTCCAACATTTCCAGCATTGACATAAACTCAGGTGTAGTTGAATGGGATTTGTTGACTTAGGAAATCCCAAGTGTTATAGGATTTCTGTGTCAGAAATGACATAAAGACTGAATATGTATTTCTTATTATGAATCACAATATCACACACCCAAGACAAGGCTAGATCTGTTATATGCTTTGTAGCACATATCACAAATGAGATAATGGTGTGTTGTGTGGTTTGCTCTAACAATACTCTGCTGCCCAGTTG